TCTTTCAATTTAGCACTGTGAGACAATGACTTACGAGGGAATTATAACTATTTACCATCTCAGATTGACTTGAAAATGACAGGAGGGAAAGAACATCACAAAATAAGAATTTTCTGTAAGAATAAGAGTTTTTACGTACATTAATGCTAGAAATAACTGAAATATAGTATTAGTATTTTTCAAATTAAGCATTTTTGGGGATACATCTTTAAAGTGAACTCTCACCCCTGTCGGACAGGTGGTCGAATGGCCGAGTGGTTAGGAGCCCGGCCTGGTAGTCCAAGGGTCCCTGGTTCGGGACCGGCCCGGCTCTTTTTCTTTTTTTTGCCCTTTTGCAAAAACCGAAGAATGTGCCCTCTCTATCGGATTGCGTAACGGCTGTCAACTGGCACGCTAGCTGCACATAAGATCTCCGTTTTTGACAGTAGGCAATCCTCTCACTGTCAGAGCCATCGACTATCCCTAGTTCGACTCCCATTAGACAGTAAAGTCTCCATTAGACAGTAAGAGCTGAGAAATAGCCTCCAAATCAAGCACACAATCAAAAATAGCATTCAAATCCGAATCTATGTTGAGAAATTTGTAAAGAGCTGAAGTTCGAAGGGTTATCTTCATAAGTACCCCCAGAGAGAAGTACCAGAGAGACAATATGTACCCTTTATCTTTTGAGGCAGGGGAAACCCTTATAGTTAGCAGCCCTATTCACTCCTCCATGCCCCCCCCCTTTTCCTCCCCAGTCCGACCCAATGAAATTCCCTTCATTCTCTTCTTTTCCCTTTTACATATCTCTTTTCTCAACCCTAACACTAAAGACAATAGCTTGGAGGAAACCCGATAAATGTTGAGGGAAAAGAAAGAAAAGAAAACAGAAAACATAGCGGAAAAAAAAAGGCACCATTTGAGTCCCATCGTGATCAAATTCTTGCTCGATTCTTTGAATAGAGTTTGACTTTGAATAGAACAAAGCCTGGCATAGATGAGAGTTTAAGAGAAATGATATAAAGTTTGAATTGTTAGAGCTGAAATGTTTCCAGTCTTTGAATTATGCCAGGTTCAAAATGGTTGCATAATTGGCTGCAAAATTAGCATAATTCACTTAGTTAGGTCTAGAATTGGCCTAGGTACTAGACAGACTTAGCTCACTAATAGGTCTGGTCCGGGTCTGGTCCAGGTCTGGCCCAGGTCTGGTCCGGGTCTGGTCCAAGTCTGGCACAACTCTGGCCCAGGTCTAGCACAAGTCTGGCCCAGGTCTGGCCCAGGTCTGGCACAAGTATGGCCCAGGTCTGGCCCAGGTCTGGCACAAGTCTGGCCCAGGTCTGGCACAAGTCTGGCCCAGCTTTGGCACAAGTCTGGCCAAGGTCTAGCACAAGTCTGGCCCAGTTCTGGCACAAGTCTGACCCAGGTCTAACCCAGGTCTGACCCAGATCTAGGCTTGGTTCAATCCAGACTTGACCTGGTACAAATCTCTTTTCCAGATTCAGCTGATCTTTTCCAGATCAGCTACAGGCCTTGTTTAGGTACAGATCCAGGTTAGATTTGGTCCTAGGTTCAGACCCAGGATTAGCCCAGATCTAGGCTTGGGGTTTAGGTACAGATAAGTTCTGTTTTGATCTAGAAGAGGGCTAGCTCTATCTATCAAGAGAAGGGCAACAGTAGAATGGAAATAAGCCAGATTTTCATCAATCATTTTCATGGTTTAATTTATGGCACTGATACTATAAAAATGGCACTGATAATAGTATCTGATAATAGTATAGATAATAGCACTGATAATAGTATAATAGATAATAATACTCAGATTTTAAAACATCAATCAAACAAATTTTTGCCCAGGAAAGGAGTCGAACTCGAGCAAAAAAAGTCGACGACGGTTTTGTACGCAAGCCCCTTACCCACTAGACCACCAGTCGCATTTGAGACCCTTGAGAAAATCGTTATAAATGCCATCATCGACCCTTTTTCGGTCCTTTTCGGCCTCGGCTCTCAGCTTCATTTTCACTCTACTTAAAACACGTCTAACTTTTTATAGAAAGCCTTTTTAGAAAAACGGAAAGTGGATTCGGAATCAGCGTGAAATTCTGCATTGAATTATCTATCATCTATCTCGTCTTACTATTGCCCTTCCCTTGCAAACAGCTTAAGATTATTTTAAAGGCCTTTCCCTTATAAAAAAACAAAGATTACTTTAAAAACATTCAAAATTTCCCCTTATTTATTCAAGCGGTTTAGCGGCTTTTTCAAGCGGCTTTTTCTCTAAAATATTGCTGTTTTTTTACAACTTTTCTTCCAGTTTACTAGTTATTCATAGTAAACTCGAAAAAAAAAATGGGTTTTTGGTAAGGTCGATGAGATTTCGGAGGGAATCTCGTGAATAATTTGTGTTTTGGGAAAGCATTGATGAAGAGGGGTTCAACGGGGAAAAGAGGGAAGCCAGGGATTTGCAAAAATCGATTCAAGTTCAAAAATTAGAGCTTTTATAGCTGCTATAGCTGTTATAGCTGTAGCTGTAGCTGTCATAGCTGTAGCTGTAGCTTTTATAGCTGTTATAGTTGTAGCTGTAGCTGTTATGTAGCTGTTATAGCTTTTATAGCTGTTATAGCTGTAGCTGTAGCTGTTAAAATGCCGAAAATTTCCTTGCCAGCATTGCTGAACCTTTTCCGTATGTCGCCTTTGGTAAATGCCTTAAAATGTGGCTCACCGTAACCGGAGCAGTTACCCTAATCCAATAGTTTCAATCTAGTAACTAGTTTCCATCGATTCCATCGATTCAATAGCTTCCACCGATTACAAAGATTACTGTAACATCATTAACTTGTGGATAGAATATGTAAATATCAATAAAGATCAAATCAACAAGATCTAGGTCAGGTTAAGATCACTTGGACGTATCTTAGACTCTAGATCCAGCTACCGTAACCCTCTAGATTCAGCTACTGTAACCGTCTAGATTCAGCTACCGTAACCCATCAGATTCAGCTACTGTAACCGTCTAGATCCAGCTACAGTAACCCTCTAGATTCAGCTACTGTAACCGTCTAGATCCAGCTACAGTAACCCTCTAGATTCAGCTACTGTAACCGTCTAGATTCAGCTACAGTAACCCTCTAGATTCAGCTACTGTAACCGTCTAGATTCAGCTACCGTAACCCATCAGATTCAGCTACTGTAACCCGTCCAGATCCTAGTGCAATGTTGTTGTTCAATGTTGCAACTATCTGGGTTAGACTAACTAACTATCGGCTACAGATTACAGTAGCCTAATCACGTTTTAAAGCACCTATCTGAGCTTATAAGATTTAAACTAAGCCAACAAAGCCAACAAAGCAACAAAGCTCATTACCAGCCGCAGTTACAGGTGCCAAGAGTAAACAAGCTTTGCATAAACGCAACAAAAATGAAGCGCAAAAGGGATTTGTCTAATGAAAGCATTCGAGATTTCCCCGTCTATTAGAGGGATGAATTCATTTGAATGGCGAAAGGGGTGAATATCCACTCGAGCAATTAGCACCCTGCTCAAATTGAGGGGAATCTTATCCATTGAAAGGACCTCTTTCACGTCTTTCACCCAACTCACATATCCATTCCATTCTCCTATTCATACTAAAGTGTTTGTCAGGTCATCCAATGTTCAAGATATCTTTGAAGCTTTTCTTTTGAACGATTGGGTCTTTGAAGAAGTTTGGTGGCCTAATGTCTAGGTGGCCTATAATCTGTGGTTTATCAAAGCTGTTGCTTTATGCAGATGAAGTCAAAAATATGTCAGATTACTGAATTACTGTTATAAATTTATTTCTATTACATTAGTCAGCACTTCTTGAAAGAAAGCAAAAGAAAAAACCACAGCCGGGATTGAACCCTCGACTACCCGACTAGGAAACAAAACTCCTAACCACTCGGCCGGTTGAACTGTTATTGCCGTCGGTAAAATATTCTCTTAACCGAGAGGCTTCGAATCCTGGCGCCGACTAGATTTTATCAGAAAAACCTCTAATAGCGGGTTTTTCTCGTCTGGCTGTTTGTTGCTGTGGCGCAGCGGGGACGCACTTGTTTACAGCCCACATGATCCGGGTTCGACCCCCCGCACTGCTATCGATCCCCGTCACTCTTGGCTTTTTTAATTTTTTATTTTAAATGACACAACTACAATGTATTCAAAGGTTTTCTAAAGAAGTTTAAGCTTTATTGGCCAAAACATAGCCGAAAAAATGCCCGTACAGACAAACGGACAGACAAACAGGCCACAGACGTACAGACAGCCAGCCAACAGACAGACAGACCAACAGACGTACAGACAGCCAGCCAACAGACAGACAGACCGACAGACAACAGACCGACAGACAGACAGACAGACCGACCGACAGACAGACAGACAGACCGACAGACAGACAGACAGACAGACCGACAGACAGACAGACAGACAGACGGACAGACGGACAGCCAGACGGACAGCCAGCCAACAGACAGCCAGACATATATAGTAGATTCCTAATCATAATGTATTGCTGTGTTCTTGTATAATCTCTCTTCAGCTTGTTTGCTTTAAAACTCGACTCAATATCCACTATTAAATCGAGCCCATTCTCTTTTATGGTGTTCCCGTTAGCGTGTAGCTGTACGTTCCAATTTCGAGGGCAATTCGAAAAGACAAAAGAAGAAAAGAGGGAGAAAAAGAGAGAAAAAGAGAATGTTTTCCTTTTCTGAAAAGCACAATCATTGGCCCCTTTTCTTTAGTGTACGAATATTCAGTTAAAGGGGAAAAGGAAAAAGGCGAGTGGCGGAACGCTTTGTCGCCTGGAAATTTGCATAATTAGACTTTGAGACGGATCCTTAAATGGGGAAAATGAAAAAAGGATTCAGTATTCGATATTGAACCTTGAAAAATAGATAACAACATAGCAAATATAGATAACAAAATGTATTTGAATGTAAAAAGAAATTTCCAGGATATTCTCTTCGATGCGACGACGAAACGCGTGAAGAAGATCATTTTGCACACGAATATGCCTGGACATTATGATTTTGGGATGTGAGTTGGATAAAGATTTTTATAAATCGATCTATAGTACAGTAGGACGTATGACTACTATATACTGGTCGCTTAAGAAGCAAAGCCAGCCTCTGGTAGTGTAAAGTCGCAGTCATACGTACTATTGGTACAATACGACCGTACTAATAAACTTCTACTCTTTATTCCCTATCGGAATAAAGTTTTCTTTAATAAGTTTTTGTAAGAAAAAGAAAGAAATCGAGGACAAATCTCGATTTTTATAAGAAATGAATTTAAAAGTTGTTTATGCGTGTTTATTGCAACCGAGTTTGAACTTTGAAACTCTTTGAAACTTTGAAAATTTGGCAAAAGTTGGTTTCGAACATCTAAAACGGCGAAGCTTAAAGTTCGCAAAATATTATTTTCAACAAAATTTAAAAGTATGGTTAAAGAGAGCACGAAATCAGCTTTCTAATGGTATATAACATTACAAGGTACAAAGTATACTTTATTGAGAAAAATGTACCCAAATAATAAACACTACAAAACGCTCATTTATTTCCGGAAAACCTAATAGTTTCGGCTTATTCAGCTTAACCAATAAAGACAAAACTCACCGAATGAAAAGGTGCCTTTCAAAAATCTCTTGGTGTACTTGCGCTTTGTCTAAAAGGGAAACATTGTCACTTTAAAATGTTGTCTTTCTTGCCATTAGGTTAAGAAACAAGTTACCAAAATCATAGAATCATAGATGCCGCTTGAAAGTTTAACCTTTCACCGATAAAACTTTAACTAATGGATATGCAGTGTAGGCCAGGTACCACGTTATTTCTGGTCACCCTGTAACATTAGGTACAGAGTATACTTTATTGAGAAAAATGTACCCAAATAATAAACAATACAAAACGCTCATTTATTTCTGGAAAAGATAATAAAAAGATAAAAAGATAAAAAGATAATAAGATAATAAGATAGAAAGATAGAAAGATAGAAAGATAGAAAGATAGAAAGATAAAAAGATAATAAGATAGAAAGAGAAAAAGAAATCAAAAATATAAAGAAAAAGAAATAAAACGAAAAAGAAATAAAAATAAAACTAAAATGAAATAAAAAATAAAAAGTGATCTTGAAATTCGTCGAGAATGGTGGAGCTACAGTAACCGGGTTCGCGACACTTTTCGCGACACATTCGCGACGCGACACGACTACGGTAGCCATTCGCGACACTTCCGCGACAGCTGCATTTTCCCATACAGTCGCGAAGTCGTTAACTGTTTTACTTCTAAATTGACGATGATTCAAAGAAAAAATAGACTATTATAGTCATTTGATAGCCCTGAATCTCTTGAAGTTCAAAGTTACTGACAAGGGACTGTCAACAGGGTGTCCAAATGGCCAAATGGTGTCAATTAGTGGCCAAATGACATAAGCCATATATTAACCGACGTAGAATTTTGCGCTGATTCCGAATCTGCTTTCCGTTTTTGCAACGCAGCACTCTGTCAAAAGTTATAAGCGCAAAGTTTTGTATGGAATCGCAGAAAGCAGGCCCTGAGGTTATAAGTTGGAGTTACCAGAGAGGGAAAGAGGTGGCCGAGTGGTAGTAGGCTTTAATACGAAACAGGGGCACTGAGGTTCGAGTCCGGTCTTTGACTCTGCTTCTCTTTTGGCTTCTAATGGTTTGAGTGTTCTCTATGTGCAGCAAGTTCGAGTCCGACGTTTGACTTTTGACTTTTTTTCCTGCTTGTTTTCGCTTTGAATGGTTTTGATGGACGAAGTCGGCTGTATCATTGGCATGGTATATCCAGAGCAACGGTGTGTCAGAGAAATATAGAGAACACTCTCTATGCTGCACATAGAGAACACTCAAACCATTAAAAGCCAAAAGAAGCAGAAAGCAAGAAGCAGAGTCAAAAGCCGGGCTCGAACCTCAGTGTCCCTGTTTCGTATTCAAGCCTACTGCCACTCGACCGCCGCGAGATCTTTTCCTCTCTGGCAACTCATAAACTCAAGTCCTGCTTTCTGCGATTTCATACAAAAACTTTGAGCGCTTGTAACTTTTGATAGAGTGCTGCGTTGCAAAAACGGAAAGCAGATTCGGAATGAGCGCAAAATTCTATGTCAGTTAGTATATAGCTTATGTCATTTGGCCAGCAGACTCTGTTGATATTCTATCATTTGACCACCACACCTCTGAGAAAACTTGTTGCCAAATAAATAGCAAAAAGTTAAAACGTTAAAACAAAAAAATAATCGTTATTAATACGATCCACCGTTTTGAATTTTTTATTCATTGCTCATTGCTTATTTGTTATTCATTGTTATTCTTAAAAATACCGACTGGGGCTACCAGTGGTGAATTTATCGCATACACGAAATATCACAATCACAATACAACGACACACACAATACTAGGCTATATCTTAACTTAACCCACGTCATGACAGACGGCTCCCTAACCCTAAGCTCAATGGGGAACTAAATAGCTTTTTTGGTGGTGAAGGGAAGATGACGATGAAGGAGTGGCTTGTCACTTTAAAGAACTGGGGCCACAACCACCAGACTGCCCTCCAGAAAAACCTCTCAACCCGAAGGGAAAGGAAATCCGAAGGGGGTGACCATGTCGCATGTGGGGTTCGAACCCTCGACCTTCCGATTAAGATAAAAGACACTTAACCAGTCAGCCACACGTGCTCAAAAAAAATTTGGAACACTTCACGAATTTGCGTGTCATCCTTGCGCAGGGGCCATGCTAATCTTCTCTGTATTGTTCCAATTTTAGTATATGTTCATAGGAATGAACTTATTTGTTGCTTATTTGTTATTCATTGTTATTCAACAATAAATGCATTAGTTTTGAAATTAAAAAGAAGTAAAAAAAGATTAAAGAGAAAGAAACAAAGCAACATTTAGCTACGCTCGATGCAACTTCCGAGCAGCATTGGGTGGAAAGGAGACTACAGAAATTCGAACTGATGTCAAAGTAAGAAAAATTAAGTTTTATATAGACTAAAATTGTTCATTTTCTAAAAGTGGCTAAGTTGGAAAGTTACCGTAATTTTCTATTCGATTCTATTCGATTCCTGCAAAAATTACCATAAATTACCATAAATTTCTATACTCTGGTGATTATAAGCTTTAGAAAAACTTTGTAGTACTTTGTAGTACGTTTGTACATCTGTAGTACGTTTGTAGTACTTTGTAGTACGTTTGTACGTTTGTAGTACGTTTGTAGTACTTTGTAGTACGTTTGTAGTACTTTGTAGTACTTTGTAGTACTTTGTAGTACGTTTGTAGTACGTTTGTAGTACTTTGTAGTACGTTTGTACGTTGTAGTACGTTTGTACGTGTGTAGTACGTGTGTAGTACGTTTGTAGTACTTTGTAGTACTTTGTAGTACGTTTGTAGTACTTTGTAGTACTTTGTAGTACGTTTGTACGTTGTAGTACGTTGTACGTGTGTAGTACTTGTAGTACCGCAGCACTTTGTAGTACTTTGTAGTACTTTGTAGTACGTTTGTAGTACTTTGTAGTACTTTGTAGTACGTTTGTACGTGTGTAGTACGTTTGTAGTACTTTGTAGTACTTTGTAGTACGTTTGTAGTACTTTGTAGTACGTTTGTAGTACTTTGTAGTACGTTTGTAGTACTTTGTAGTACGTTTGTAGTACGTTTGTAGTAAGAAACACAGTAGTACTTTGTACTAAAAAAGTGAAAACGTACTTCTTTTCACTCAATTTTGCATATCTTTCAATTTAGTACAATTAAATTGTTCGGCAGAAAGATTTGTTTAGATTTTTAAGCACAAAGGACATATCTAAAAGAAAAGTTTGATTAAATTTGTCTACAAACGATTCACAATTGATTCCAGAACAAAAGAAAGACACATTGTTTAAACGAAATTCTTTCATCCTACTCAAATTTGCATAACGATGATGCTCACTTGTTGGGAGTCTTTCATTTCTCTCTTCTTTCTTTCTTCTTCCTCTTCTTTCTTTCTTCCATTTCTTTCTCTTCTTCCATTTCTTTCTCTTCTTTCTCTTCTTTGTCTTCTTTCTTTTCTTTCTCTTCTTTCTTTTCTTTCTTTTCTTTCTTTCTTTCTCTTCTTTCTTCTCTTTCTCTTCTTTCTCTTCTTTCTCTTCTTTCTTTTCTTTCTCTTTTTCTCTTCTTTCTTTCTTCCATTTCTTTCTCTTCTTTCTTTCTTTTCATCAAAATCCTCGATTGTCGCTTCTTCAAAATCCCCATCGATCATCCGAAATTGACAAATAAATGTCATTTTTCCGATAAATTTCTTACCAATTAATTCCTCGAGTGAACAGCGGGAATTTGAGGAGAAAAAGAAAGAATTTCGAGGATTTCGATTGGGGGAAAGGACAGATGTTGGAAAGGATCGTTCAATTTTAAGCACAAATTAAGCATTTAAGGGTTAAGTAATTGGGAAAATGTTTTTAAGACAAAGAGATAACGTTTAGAGATGAAAGATATTCAGTAAAATTCAGTAAAATTCAGTAAAATTCAGTAAAATTCAGTAAAATTCAGTAAAATTCAGTAAAATTCAGTAAAATTCAGTAAAATTCAGTAAAATCCAGTAAAATTCAATTCAAATGCTCAGCTATAAATACGATAAAATAGTTAGAGTATCTAAAAAGATGTAAAGAATGTAAAGGAAATAAAGCTGAATGCAAAAGCGTTTTCAGTTCTCCGAGATGAGCGTCCTATTCACCGTCGATGGGAGCGCCGTGAAACCGGTGGTCGTCACGCACAACAATGAGGGAGAGAGAAATCCATTTGGACCCACTTATTGCTACGGAATACCTGGATTGATTGTTGAGGTTTGTGAGAAAGGAAACAATGCTCAGTTCTTTCATCAACACTTCTTCACAATCACCCAATAAAGCTTGTTCTAAGCTGTTCTAAGCTGTTCTTTTAAGCTGAAATCTGTCACCATTTTAGCATCTTACAGCAATGCTTTGCAAGAAAACGACGAATTTAGAATCGATGCTTTTACAGATTTAGCTCAAAGTACACTTAGATCAAGTTTTGAACTTGTAAAAGCCGTGATTCAAATGATTCAAATGATTCAATGATTCAAATGATTTAAATGATTCAAATGATTCAATGATTCAAATCATTCAATGATTCTAACGATTCAAATGATTTAAATGATTCAAATGATTCAAATGATTCAAATGATTCAAATCATTCAAGTGATTCAATGATTCAAATGATTCAAATGATTCAAATGATTCAAATGATTCAAATGATTCAAATGATTCAAATCATTCAAATGATTCAAATGATTCAAATGATTCAAATGATTCAAATGATTCAAATGATTCAAATGATTCAAATCATTCAAATGATCAAATCATTCAAATGATTCAAATGACAAAGATTCAAGATTCAAAGGTTCAGATTCAAATGATTCAATGATTCAAATGATTCAAGTGATTCAATGATTCAATGATTCAAAGATTCAAATGATTCAAATGATTCAAATGATTCAAATGATTCAATGATTCAAATCATTCAAATCATTCGAGTGATTCAAATGATTCAAATGGTTCAAAGATTCAAATCATTCAATGATTCAAATGATTCAATGATTCTAAGGATTCAAATGATTCAAAGATTCTAATGATTCAAATCATTCAAATCATTCAAATCATTCAAATCATTCAAATTTCAGGTAATGGAGACAAGTGGTCACATCGCTGCGTTGACTCTTTACGAGGCGACACTTTGAGATTTACAAAAGTATCACAAAAAGTATCACAAACTAGATTTCCAAAAATAACTACTATTCAATTACTCTTTCACTGCCTTTTATGAGGAATCGATTATTTGTTCACTTCAAAAGTTGTACATTTTGTGAATAAGTAACTGCGTTTGTCAAAGTATTCAGGGCTTTTTTTTCTTGTATTGTTGAATAAATGCTTCATAAATGTAATCAAAGTTTCTCAACTTTACACACACTCAATCAACAACTAAACATTAAATAGTTTCATTTCAAATGCCTGACAGCATCAATTAGAACTTTCGTCTTTCAAAGAATTCCTTATAGGTATTACTATTACTAATTACTTATTATTTTCTCTAATAGTCGCGCACCCAAAGCTTTGTCTAAATTGCTCGAAATCTCGAGAACCGTTTATCAGAACCTATCGATGTGGGGTCGGAAAATGTAGCTGACGATCAGATCTAGCGGGGGATTTGAGTGTTGAGCTTCTGCAGCTTCTGCAGCTTCTGCAGCTTCTGCAGCTTCTGCAGCTTCTGCAAAAGCTTGGAAACCGTAAAATAGTCATCAACTCGGCTCGCCCGGGTGCACTACTATTAGAGAAAATTCGGTTGATAGTCAAAAATCAGTCCAGACTCTCTGATTTGGCTATGGTTAGGCCAGGTACTATAGGTAATACTATTTCAAATACAAGTTCAATCACTTGACTGCCAGCACTACACAAATGTGAGTGATGATTCGATGGAAAAAGATTGGCTACATTGCAGGTGACATTTGTGGACATTTGTTGAAGACACATTTGTGGTAGAGCGCTAAAAAAAACGATCACATATCCAAAGACAAAGTTAAACATGGAAGACATCAAAACGTCAAACATACGTCAAAAATAAGCCTTGATCTAGGGCTTAGAAATCTAGTTAGATAGTTAAATTCAAGTGGGTTAAAACTATCGTCAATAAAGCTACCTGGATGATAAAACGGGCGTGTTTGTCATTACGTCTGATTGAGCTGATTCACTTTGTCCCAACTGCAAGTTAGTGATTCATAAGATAATCTAAGCTTTACTGTTTTTACTCAAAAACCTAAGTTATCATTGTTCACTTTTTCAGTCCAAACCCGAAGAGCTGAAAGCCGCAGTGAAGGCAGCTATTCATGAGGAATATCGACGACTGTCGTCTAGTAGAATATGGATGTCATTGGGGCCATCGAGGTGAGTAAACAGAAGAAAAATCTTTAAAAACTAGGAAGCTTATTGTTTGATATTACATTGACCCTGTGATTTGGATTCCAGGAGACGATTCCAGATCCAGGAGACGACTCCGGATCCAGGAGACGATTCCAGATCCAGGAGACGATTCCAGATCCAGGAGACGATTCCAGATCCAGGAGACGATTCCAGATCCAGGAGACGATTCCAGATCCAGACGACAGCCGGTTGAATGAACTATCGTTCCTCCAGGCACCAGAGCCGTATCCAACTCGAGTGACTTGAGCTTCTTCTTCCTGTCGGCGCTGATGTAGCAGCAAAGACATTTCTTGAACGAGATCAATCCAAAGGCTCGCTTCAGGTAGATCAAAGTGAGCCTTATCCAAATATTTCGAAAACCACATCTTGCCGCTCCATACAAGATTGAGATTTGAGATTGATTGACTTAAAGCACTTCTCAATGACAGGATCGGGATGCTTCGTGTTGAGAAGAACAAATGCTCGGCACTTCACACCATCCGAACTAGAGCTTAAGGGACATTTGAAAGTATAGCTAAGAAGCGCGTAGTTAAGTAGGTATAGCTAAGTAGTTAAGTAGGTAATTAAGGGAGCCATTCGATTAGAGTTTTTACGGTATAATATTTAGATACAGATTTAATTCTTATGTTAAAACTTAACCCAATATTTCAGGGCACAAGAGAGGCCCACGTCCGCCTGTTCCCCCAGGATTTGTGGGTTTAAAAAAATGCTTAACTATAGAATAAATAGTCTCGTTTTTTCTTATGAAGAACTTGGAAAAATGACAAAAAAACTAGAGAGCCAAATCAATTCATTAAAAATAAAAAAAATGACGAAATTCTAAGCTAGAAAAACCCTAATGATCATTTCCATATAAACCATTTGATTAGCGAGCCTTGCTTTCTCCGGGTTTCTCTCTTCTACACAAATTTAATAATGATAGTTCAAAGCTTTAACTTTTGTTCTCACTAATACTTTAGTTTACATGTGTGTTTCTAAAAAGAGTTTTAGACTTTTATCTCTATGCAATCATAATGCTCTTTGTTCGAGAAGAATTTCAAAAACTCTCCCAAGTCCAGCAATCTTCAAAAATAAAAAATAAAAAAGAAAAAAGAGAAAATTTTTGTGGTTTCTGAGAGAAAACGAAAAAGGCGGGTTTATTTGGATAAGGCTTGCAAGGGCTGGAAGTGACTGGAATCTCTCAAATTTTTTTGATATTTCCCTGATAGAAAAGAGGAGAAGGGACTAAGACTATAGTATTTCAGTCAAAAAACACAACAATTTGTTCCTTTTTCTTTTTTCTCGTGGACTAAGGTGGTATAAAAGCTGACTATCTGAGCAGTTCAATATTCAGTTATTTTTGGATTTTTTTTGGTTAGGAGACAAATTTTAGTTTGCTTGTAACTTTTTACTGAATCCTATTGTACATTTTAGCTCAGATTTTAGCCTAGATTAATGCTAGGCCCTAGAGTTTGGTTCCCAGAGCAGTTGCCTTTTTTCTCTTTTAAATTAAGTTACTATTCATAAAAACTTCAAGACTTCATAAAAACTTCTAGACTGCTGCTTCTAGATTCTAGATCTGCTGAAATTTTCAAGCATTTGAAACTTTCTCATCTGATAGAATTTAGCAATTTCTCTCATTTGTAATGGCCCAAACGATTGCCCTCTCCAATGGGCATCTCATGCCGATTTTCGGTCTCGGAACATGGCAAGCGAAACAGGTAATTTTTCAAGAAAAGACAACTTTCAGCTAAACACATATTATTAATTTATGAGTAATTTTTTAGCTGGAAGAAATACTTTACTTGCCACTTTTTTCCGAGAAAATCCTGTTGGCGGTTGGCGCTTTAAAGCGTGGCAAAACTACCGTACCCCTCCAATTTGCGCAAAATTTCTTTTTTTTCATTCTTGTTCATTTCATTTTATTTTTTTGCGTTTTTTCCATAAAAAGGCACAAAAACAAGGCTTCCGCTATAGAAAATGATAAAAAGCACTTAACTTAACATTAGTTGGCATTAAGTTCGTGGAGTAGATCGTCGGGAAGCAAGTGGGTCTAAAAAAACTCCACAAACAAAGCTTCCGCAATAGAAAATGATAAAAAGCACTTAACTTAACATTAGTTGGCATTAAGTTCGTGGAGTAGACCTTCGGGAAGCCAGTGGGTCTAAAAAACTCTACAAACAAAGCTTCCGTCATAGAAAACGTTGTTAAAAACGTAACTTAGCTTTATCTTTTTTGTTTCCTGCAAAAACAAACACGCCCACATAAGAAAAACGAAAAAAGAATAAAATGAAATGAAAAAGAATGAAAAAAATGAAATTTCGCGCAAATTAGGAGGGGTACGGTAGTTTTACCACGCTTTAAAGCGCGAACGCAGGATTTTCTCGGAAAAAGGTCTTGATTGTGTATTCTTTCAAAAGTTTGAAAGCTCTCGTTGCTCTTTCTAAGGTAGCAATTTAAACCATACATGCCAGGCTATTTCTTTTACATGCCATACATGCCCTACACGGCCTTTCGTCATCTTAACTCCTAATCACTTCCAGGCGCAACCCGACCAAGTTCGTCTAGCCTGTGTCGAGGCGATCAAGGCTGGCTATCGGTTGATCGACACGGCTGCTGCCTACCAGAATGAGAATGAAGTTGGACAGGCTGTTAAGGTAAGCAAAAGAATCAACAATGTAAACAACAACAACAACAACAACAACAACAACAACTAACAATGTAACCGTGTTAACTTTGATAGATCAGCTTGCAGTTATTCTAAGTTTTTAGGAATGCATCGCTGCTGGGATCATCAAGCGATCGGATATCTTCATCACGACTAAGGTTTTGAAAAATTCACCCACTTTAGTCAGATTCAGAGTCAGAGTCAGAGTCGCTTAGTGAAACTAATATTTTCAGTGTTTCATCACCACTCTCCACCCGGACAAAGTCGAGCCAGCTTTGAGGGGCTCATTGGAGCGGTTGGGAATGGACTTTGTGGATCTCTATCTTGCACACATGCCCGTTGCTTTCAATGTAAACTTTTAATGAACGAAATTTTATCAATATTTCTTTCAGCCCGATTTCACTCAAGACCCCAGTGTCTCCGTGGAGATGACCTGGAAGGTAAGATGGTTGAAATTTGAATGATTGTTTGGTTGGAATCTTCTTTTCTTTGAAATCTTCTTTTGTATAATTGTATGATGAATAATCTCTATCTTTCTTGTCTGCTTTTTGGAATCTAAAGAAGAAAGAAGACTATTTAAAACAATCTACTTTAAACCAAGCTGCTGTACGAAATTTCGGGCATTATCTTGGAATGCCCGAAATTGGAATATTCTTTTCTTTTCGGGCATTTTCTTGGAATCTTCTTTTCTTTTGTATATCCGTAGCAATGATGAATAATCTCCGTCGTTCTTTTAAAGCTCTTTTTTAATGCTCGGATATGTAGCAAGCCTTGGTGTTTGGTTAGAATCTTCTTTTCTTTTCCACTTCCGTGGCAATGAGTGTTTTGTTTGGCAAATTTTACTTTGCCAGCCAATATTTATATAGCTAAGATTATTTTTTTGAAAACATAAGCAGTTTACAAAGAAAAGTCAACTGGGTGTGCTGGTCAAATGACATGAGCTAGATACTACTAGCCATATACTAACGCCATATACTACTAGCCATATACTAACGCCATATACTAACGCCATATACTAACGCCATATACTAACGCCATATACTAACGCCATATACTAACGCCATATACTACTAGCCATATACTAACGCCATATACTAACGCCATATACTAACGCCATATACTAACGCCATATACTACTAGCCATATACTAACGCCATATACTGAAGTAGAATTTCACGCTGCTTCCGAATCTGCTTTCAATTTTTGTTATAAAGCACTCTGTCAAAAGTTATAAGCATGGAAAGTTTTGTATAGGATTTTAAAAATCTTTAATGTTTTTTTTTTGCCTGTCGTAACTGTAATAGCTTTTCCCGTAGCTTTTCCCTTTTCACCTTTTCGTCGACAATGACAACATCAACGTCAAAATTTTATTTTAAAAATAGCTGTTTGATGTTTATCTCTGGGAAATCTTTTTATAAACTCGAAGATGATTTTTAAAATCCTATACAAAACTTTCCATGCTTATAACTTTTGACAGAGTACTCCATAGCAGAAACGGAAAGCAGATTCGGAATCGGCGTTGAATTCTGCGTCGAATGAGCTGTCATTTGACCGACGAACCCAGTTGACCTTCCCTTGTCAATATTGTCCCATTTTTTACCCCTTTTTTAGGCCCTGGAATCCGTGTACAAAAAGGGTTTGACCCGAGCCATCGGTGTCTCCAATTACAGCATTGATCAGATTGAGAGAGTGATGAAAATTGCTGAAGTGCCCATTCATAATCAACAGGTATGCCAAACTTTTAGCCTTTATTCTCTTCATTTTTTTCTCAGGTTGAACTCCACCTCTACTTTCCCCAGTTTGAGATGGCCAGCGCTTGTCTGAAACACAATATCTCGTTGACATCCTATTCGACGCTTGGAAATCCGAGTCGAATGGAGTACAAAACACCCGATGGAAGGCCGTAAGTTACTATGTACAATATCGTACAATATAGTAAAGCTAGACAGAAGCTAGAAGTTAAACTAGAACAAGTAAACGAAGCCAGTTTGATCTGGCTCAAATAAAGCTCACCCGGGCTCACTGGGAATTTCTGCTGACCTGGGAATTTGCCTGGGAATTTCTGTTGATTGTTACAGCTTGAATTATCATAATTATTATAATTATATTATCCAGTAGAAGGTCATGCCCGTCTATTTTTCAACCCCCAAAATCGAGCGACCAAAAAAATAGATAAGGTCCCCAAATCGATTTTTCGAGGGATCGAATCTATTTGAGAGTTCTAATAGAGAGTTTCCTTCTATTACAATAGTTACGCTAGTTCTTATAGGGCTAGCATGTTAAACTAACTAGCATGTTAAACTAACTAGCTAGTTTTATACATTACTATTTCTTTCTTTTTAGCAATCCCTTCTTCGAAGCCCCAGCCGATCTCGATGATGCCTATGTGAAAGAGTTGGCTAAAAAGTACAACAAATCGCCAGCTCAGGTTGGGAAATGGAAAATCGAGTATAGATTATTAGAGATACTTCAACATGTTAATAGTACAGAATGTCTCAAAATTATGGAGAGAAAATTCGATCATTGAGCTTTTGTTAAGAAATTTCGTCCCAAGCTTTCTCTAAATCCTCCAAATCTCCAATTCTTCAAAGACTGAATTGATATTCTAAGGCTTGCAACAAGCCTTGGATTGCAAGATTGACCAAATGATGTAATCAAGAAAATCCGACGAGTTGGACAGAATCCTTTCATTCAAAAATCCATTTGTGCAATTGAAGTGTTTATGGCCTAAAATAAAAAAATAGTATTCATTTCGAAATGAATTTAATTTAATATCGTTGAAGTAGCTTAAAATAAACCTTGCGATTGAGTCAAAGACTCGACTCCAACAGCGGCTTCAAACGCTGTTTTAGATTTTAATGCGCGAAGGATTACAAATTTGGTGAGGTGATCCTGGTAGATCATCAAAAACTTGTAGTCACCGTCGGGCACTGATTGAAGGTCAACCAAATCGATTTGATATCGCTCATTTTGTTCTTTTGTCACAATTGGTTTGATAACAATTCCTTTCTTGGGTGTACCCTTCTTCAACTCGCATTCATCACACTAGACGCATTCATCGCGTCCAGCGTGTCCTAGTCATTTGTGAGTATCGATCAATACATCACATCACAAAGTTTGACAAAAATTTCAATAATCTCCTTTGATATTCCATGATAGTCGCGAAGTTCCTTCCACATAATATCGCGTCCAGCGTGTCCTAGTCATTTGTGAGTATCGATCAATAGATTGAAGAGCTCCTCCTTCTTGACCACTCGCTTTGGTTGATCGTTTTGCCCGCTTTCGTGACTGTAGAGATTGGCTTGGTGCTGTTCGTATCGAAGAGAGAAACGATTTAGATTAGAGAAACAATTTAGAGAAACAATTTAGAGAAACAATTTAAAGAAACAATTTAGCAGAGAGTTGACATCATCGCGCGATTTTTTTTTCTTCTTATCGTTCCCCTCGATGAATTCTTTGATTGTCGCGAGAATTTCATCGTATTTGACTTACAACAAGCCACGAACTGCAAGATCGACCAAATGCTGTAATCCAGAAAATTCGGCGAGTTGGATAGCCATTCTCCTGGAAGCCATTCTCCATTTGCGCGCTTATGTCAACTGTGATCCAATCAGGAAAATTTTTTGCGATCAAATCTTGTTTCTCGTGTTTCTCGAGCTTTATGCGATAGAACTTTGTCCTACCCAGGGCTTATTTCCGAAGTGATGTTGACTCCAAGGCAAAATTGTTTTCAACATTTTCAGATATTCGTTTTTGTTGACTTTGTCTCCAGCTGGGATGAAAATCAGAGGCGTCTTTCCGGTGTAACACTCGTCTATACCATCACTTGTTGAGACTTCTGTTGCCGTGAGACCATTGTTGGATGTTGCCTGTTGCCGTGAGACACGCTAAACAAGCGGGAGTGGATCCTTTGACCAAGTCCTATCGTTTTGATGGTTGTGATGTCGATGTCAAACCACTTTTCCGATGAAAGAGGATCTCACAATGAGGATTTGCTCCAAAGCCTCTCAAAAGTTTCTTGCAACAGTCCACTCCCTTTTGCTTCATCTGATCGTTTAAGCAATGTCCGATTACATCTTTTCATGCCTTCATTTTTCTGAGAATTCGTTGAACTGTTGTCCTTAAGATTCCAATTGCAGCAGCTATCTTTTGGGTGGAGTTTTTCCGTAATCTCGAGTTTCTTTGGATTTGTTGAAAGATCTTTCGACGATTGTTGTTGTTAGCATTGTTGGATTGTTGGCAATCTTCTTTCGGCTTGATCGATCTTCCAATTTCCCAGTCTCTTTGTGACGCTTGATTGCTTTTGAAACTGTCTGGTGAGGCACGTGGAAAAGCCGTGAAATCTCCATCACCGATTTGCCATCCTGTGAGAGTCGAACCATGGCTGGTCACAAATTCAATTGTGATCCAATCCAATCCAAATCCAATTTCATCCTGAAAAAAGCCAATACAAAAGAATTTTCGTCATAAGTAAGAAAAAGAATGAGATAAACAATAAATCTATCAAAACAGGATCCGCTCTATAATTTTGGGACACCCTATAACTCCTTGAAGGCCAATAACAATGGCTCTATCAGAGCTAGTCATTCAGTGATCAGGGGCTGACAAAACACTGATCAGAGCTAGCCTGGCCGCGTAAGTAGCTCAGCTTAACAGTTTTTTTTATTTAAAATATCGAAATTTAAATTCTAATTAGTATTCTAATTAGTATTTAGGTCATTTTTGTCATTTTTGTTTTTTCGGTAATCCTTATTCGATTCCAGATCCTTCTCCGTTACTGCATTGAGAGAAACATCGCTGTCATTCCGAAATCGGTGACTCCCAGCCGAGTCCGAGAGAATTTCCAAGTTTTCGACTTCAAATTGACGTTAGTAGAAGAAATAAAATCAAGTTTAAGTCATTAAGAACAGAAAAAAACGAATAGCTTCCTCAAATTTGTTATTTATTTACGATTTTCAGAGCTGATGAAATGGGAAAACTGCGTAAACCAGCTCACACCATTCGACTCTACCCTCAAGATTTGTGAGTCATATAAAACTATCATTTCATAAGTTTTATTTAAAACATAAAATTGTATGAATATTAAAATATTAATCTATCTTTGGGATAGGCTAATTTCCGCCATTTTATTTGCGCAACAGGGTCTTTTGCGCAACTCGCCATAACTTTCTTCTTAATAAGCCAATCTTTATGATTTTGGTGTCATTTTGTTACACTTATTCAGCTCTACAAAATGAAACCAAAATCATAAAGATTGGTCGACGTAGAAGAAAGTTATGGCGAGTTGCGCAAATGACCTCGTTGCGCAAATGACCCTGTTGCGCAAATAAAATGGCGGAAATTAGCGTATCCCGTATCTTTTCTATAAATTTCATTTTTCAGCATGAAAGGTCATCCAGAGGATTTTCTGAAGCACGAGCGCTAACTTGACGCCACTTTTCTAGTGAATCTCATTTCGTAAACTTTTGCAAGAGAAATTGAATAAATATTGTGTGAATCAATACTCAAATCATAAAGATCTTTGTCCTGCTCTTTGTCCTCAAATCATAATCATAAAGATAATCCTATTTTTTTGGAAAAATGAACGTAGTGATAAATAAAAGAAAAATGCTAAGCGACATTACTATTCATAGTATTGGGTTGATGGAAAAGTCCTTTCCGATTTTTTGGGAGAGTACCTTAAATTTGTCGAATTTTGACGTTTTATAGCTCATCCTAAAGCTGAATTCAAGAAGGATCGATTGGTAAAAACCGTTTTGAGATATCTCTAGATATGAGATATGAGATATCTTTTTTAAAAGTCTTTACAGCTATTTTAGTAAAGGGCGGCAGAGCCAAAAAATGGCTGTTTTCACGTTTCGTTGGTTTTCCGTGCAGAAACCTAGGCTAAAAACATGTTATTCGTGATCAGCGTCCAAAATAACCCCTAGACACGCATTTTCAGAGGCTTAGCAAAAAATTTTTGAAAAATATTGTCACCGGTGGAAGTCGAACCAGCGACCCTCAGATCAATAGCCTTTCCGCCGCTTTTCGCGATTTTCCTTCGTTTTTCTCGTTTTTGGTTTTTACCAATCGGTTTTTATCAACCAAAACGGTTTTTACCAATCGATCCGTCTTGAATTCAGCTTTAGGATGAGCTATAAAACGTCTAAATTGGACAAATTTAAGGTACTCTCCCAAAAAATCGGAAAGGACTTTTCCATCAACCCAATAGAAAACGGGGTACGTTAGAAAGCAACTGTATATATTAAATCAAACTGACCCGAACTAGACGAACATGCACAATCGGAGACGATACTAACAAAATCAAATACTTGCACGAGATTCATTTATTTGAGTTGAATTTTATTTTGGTTGCATTTTATGGGGGTGGGACAAATGCTACCTTTTTTTGCGCACCCGGACATTTGCGCACCTTTTTTTGCTGGAAAAGGCTTTAGGAAAGGTCGTAGAGCTTCAAAAATGTTTTCATGGAAGGGGATCGTATGTGTAGATTCCGAAAATAGTCTTATTTTCTTTAATTTTTAATTCGTACAGTCGGTCTTCGTATGTAAAGTCGACTAACAAATAGCATTTAAACTTTCTATTGATAAACTTTCTACTGTTCGGTGGGCAATTTCTTAATAACCTAGGTGCTTTTATTAAGAAATTGCCCGCCGGGCAATAAAAAGTTTATAAATAGGAAGTTTAAATGCTATTTGTTAGTCGACTTTACATACGAAGACCGACTGCGCGATTTTTGTTCTAAAAATCGAAACAATTAGAGCAAAAATCGCGCGCTTGCCCATCGGGCAATCTCTTAATAATTTAGCTCCTTTTATTAAGAAATTGTGCATTGGGCAATTTCTTAATAATTTAGCTCCTTTTATTAAGAAATTGCCCACCGAGCAATAGGAAGTTTAGAAATAGGAAGTTTAAATTGTCTATTGATTAATCGACTTTACATACGAAGACCGACTTTACATACACGCCAAAGTTACCATTATGTCAATAACACAAACCTCGCTAACTTATCTAATTTTCCCAAGCGCACCAAACAGTGTCCAATCCCGAGTCGAACATCCGATAGACAATTCGGCTTCAAAAACTCCGGTACCAGAGTCCCACGGGGATTAGTAAAAGAGAGTGAATTACTAAGAGTAATCCCACGGGGATGCGAGTCGAGTTGATCCGAGTGAACATCTGTTCAACTAAAAGAAAGTAAAATTTCATGGCAATTACAATGACTTTTTCCCTTTCTAAGATCTGTATATTCAAAAACTTGCCATAATTTTGACGATACATATCACATATATTTTATTTGAACCTTGGAAAGTAAAATGCTAGCTTTCCAAACTTTTAATCTTTTACCATCACGACTGAGAAGACTTATTTTGCAAACATTATCGATCTCCGAGGTACTTCATTTGCTTAAAGTAAACCAGGCTCTTCGTTTATTCGTTTTATTTCATGGACCGATTTTTTTTAAAACTTGAATCTATTCATGTGTGCCTTTACAATCCAAGCATCGAGGAGAATTATGCTAAAATTGTGGCCGATAATATTTGGATTTGTATCACCTGTCGCTCGATTAAGTCATTTTTTATCGTAGGCGATCAAAAAGTCCCCCAGTTAAGTGCCTACCACAATTCAATAAAAATACAAATAAATCAAAATCAAACGCGATTTTTTCGAAAGCTCTCAAATTTTGCTGATCTTTTTATAACTTATTATCGATCAAGCAACCGTAATTGCCAAAAATTTAATGTCAGTCAACTCTTGCCATGCGATTTGAAGAAGAATTCCTTGCGTAAGTTTAGTCTTGGATCCACATACTCATCTCACCCGCCTAACATCTGTTCCAGCGACTTAAAACTTTTTGCTTTTTTACTCACAAAGTTTAGTTTCATTAAAATAATGGACAGGGTTTATATCCATTTTGATTCCCAGGATTACGATTCTAAATGGTCAAAAGAAAAATTATAAAAAACTTACGAGATCTTCATGCCCTTGAGGTTGTGGATTCATCGCGAAGTGAATGAGATGATTTAACAAACCATCAACGGCCATTTTATATCTCGCCTCAATGTAAATTTCCGAAAATTAAATGTAAATCTTATCGTTGCAAATCTGATTGAACTTGTTGTCGGGGCGGCGACATGTTATATTTTTTCAGATTTTTATGAACATTTTGCCGAGGCGGCTACGTGTTCTTTGTTTTGATATTTTTATGAACATTTCGATACCGAAAGCCTGTTGAAAGGTTGTTAACAACCTTTCAACAACCTTTCAAAGCTTGTTAACAACCTTTTAGAGGTTGTTAACAAGCTTTTTAGAGGTTGTTAACAACCTTTTAGTGGTTGTTAACAACCTTTTAGAGGTTGTTAACAACCTTTTAGCGGTTTTATTAAGTTTCCCACGCGAAAATAGTCTTATTTTCTCTAATTTTTACGACTGCGCGGTTTTCTTAATAATTTAACGATTTTTATTAAGATTTAGCCTTTATAAGACATCGCGCGCGGAATTTGTTAGTAAAATCCTGAAATTTACTAACGAAATCCGCACCCGAAGGAAAAGATTATATAAAATGATAAAAGAGTTGAGAGAAAAGTTTTTATTAAGTTTCTCACGCGAAAATAGTCTGATTTTTTTTAATTTTTTAATTTTGAATACTTTTTCAATTTTTAAAAGCTTTCTCTCAACTTAAGATTCCCAGTTTCATGATTTTTTAGAGAAATCTAACTTCTAGATTTCTTCTAACAAACTTATAACAAGTTCTTAGGTTGGAACCAAAGTTCTTGCCTGTAGTTCTGAAAAAACCATGAAACTGGAAGCCGGAAAGGTATTCTTGGCTTTGAAGCGGCCACAAACGATTGGAAAAGACCACAGTACTCTTGGAGAATCTTTAAATTTTCAATAAATTGCAAGTATCTACGTAGCCACCTAATATAAGGTTGGCCTTAGGGGGGATATATAGAAAATTCATTCGGCTCAATCTTTGCGGCTCGAATCTCAAGGTTTCAATTAGAGCCAGCTCACTTTATACTTCGTGCTTCACAGGATTTTTTTTCATTCATGGCCAGAATTTAGCTAGCTTTGTTGTTACTTATTGATTGCACTGATACTGATATTTAATTTGGTTGTGCAGAATCCAAAATTAGCATTTAATGGTTCTTTTGAAGGGAGCGTGAAACGATGGAATCATCATTTCTACTCGCAACAATCGCTTCTCAATGGCCTACAAAGAGAAGACATCGACGACAATCTTCGAGAATTGCCGCTGCCCTCATTGTTCAAATCCGAATGGTGAGCTTTTTGTGATAAACTTGTTAGCCTTTTGAGCGTTTTGAGATCTTTTATTCATAACTTTGATAACTTTCTAGATTTGTTTGATCAGTGAACTAAAAAGTAAGGATTTTTGTATCAAGTGCCATGAACTTGTATCATATCGTAAAGCGTGCATCATGTAATTGTATCAACATAATTGTAAAGCGCTTAAATGGAACCATAGCTATGGTTTTATTCTTTCGGCGGTAATATTGATGATTCTTATTACTGGCTTTATCATACTGCAAATCTTGGTTTGCTCGAAAGCAACCTATTGCATCCACTTGAATGCCTATAATAAATACATATTTTTCTCATTCATAGCTTTATTTTTAGCAGGCAATGATTTCACGTCAGCAATCGGCTCATACATGTGTTCGACGAATCTTGAGCGAATGGCACGACAAACAGCCGCCACGCGGTATCAATTCTTGATCATACGCTCGAGGTTAACTTTTTGCTTCTAGAAACCGCGTGCTGCACTACCCCAACACAATGTTTGTGATGCGCCACAGCGAACGAATGGATGACATGTTTCACGATTGGACGAAATATTTCAACGACGACACCAAGCCTTATACACCTTTTGATTTAAACATGGTATTGGTTCTTTGGAAAATTTTTCAATCTTTTTATATTTAGCCACCAACATTACCCGTCAACCGTCCCGTCGACCATTATCGTCTTGATCCAATGCTTACGAGGACCGGTGGAGTGATTGCTCAACTTTGCGGCCGAGCATTTCTTTATCGAGGATATACCCCAGGTTTTTTGTCGATTTTAAGCACTTATGATTTGACTCGTTTAGATGTGATCTACTCATCTCCAGCGTTGCGATCATTGCAGACTGCGCGTTTCATTCGCACGGCATCTCGATCGGAGGTTGAATTGCATTAAAGTCTTTTAACATCTTGCTTTAGGCTTTAATTCGTGTTGAGCCAGGTCTCTTCGAGAACTTGTCACTTTATGACACGAAGCCACTGTTAGTCACCGAAGAGCAGCAATCGTTGTTTGGCGTCGATCCCTACTACATGCCCCAGTACGAATTTGATGAGGTATTTTCTGAGAAACGTTCAATTACTGTGCCTCTTTTAGATTTATAAAAAGCGAGAAAGCAATGAGGACTATAATGAAAGGATGAAAATAGTTCTTCGTCGGATCGTCACAACAGCGGAAAGCACCTCGGGCAAGAACAAAAATGAACTCATTGTTTTGGTTTGTTTTTTAAGGATTTAAAAAAAATGATCTACAGATTGAGAAATAACAAAATACTTTATTTATTTTAGGTAGTTGGTCATGCTTCAACGGTGGATATGGGAGTTGGATTGCTTCGTGATAAGCCACGTCCATCTACCCATTCAAATCTCTTCAAGATTAGCAGGAAGTTAGTTTCTTTGTTAATTTTCATTTATTCTTTGTTGTAGGATTCCATATTGTTCGACTATATGCCTTCAACCAAAGCCTACAGCAAAGGTGACCTCGAATGTACCATGGGAGCCGGTATTTGGTAGACTTTTATGCTGTTGAGAAATTTCATTTTACGTTTTAGGCACGATTCCACCCATTACCTACACCGGATTCACCAACAAGCCAGACTACGCTTTCCTTCTGCGCAAATGAAAAAAAAAGATTTGAAAGCACCGAAAAGCTATTTAAATATGCTGAATGGTTTAATAAATCTTTAAAGTGTTTTGTTAATTGCTCGAAACATCTTATTTGTATTGATTACCTTGCATCAACACTTTGCTAAGATTAAGCTGGATTCCAAAATAAACGGCTTCGGTAGGCCCTTCCTGTCCGTTCAATTTTACTGTTTTAGGCAATGGAAATGCCTGAACTCGCTGAAGAAACAAATGACTTTCCTTTATCGAAGAAAGGCGAAATTCAGTTTTCTGTATGCGGATTGTGCAACTCGCCGAAAAGTCTTGGCAATGCCGATCAACTACACTGCTGGAACCTCATTCAACACGTCTACACGCACATGGTTCAGAGGGCAATGACCTGCAATGAGTGTGGATACCAAGCTCATCGAAGTCAAGGAATGGCCGTTCATGTCAGACGACATCATAATCGAAAGGAAGTGGTCATCTTATATCCCTCGAACCTGAAGGCCTATATGGAAGAGCTGAAAGATGTGGCGAGAAGATGCTTTCCTACTTATTTTGAACGCTTCAAATCTCACTTTATCAATTTGGAGGAAGCTATGAAAGCCGGATCAGGCTCAATGTCCACAGGAAGCAACAGGCCAAGCACTGAGAGGAAATTAGGACTTGGAATCAATGATCACCTGTTCGTAAGCTTGGGTCTGGATTTTTCCAAGGAAAAGGCAGGTGACGAAGACAACATTGGAGGACTTCTGGGATTTCATATGCCAAAGGGTGACCTTGTGGCTGATGCACGACCTTCTCCGAGTTTTCATGATGACTCTACAAATATCGATTTTCGGGACGACGAGATCGAAAACTCGACTTTGGCTGGGCTCTTTCGGGGAATCTTCGACTCTCCCCGCAAAAAGACAACTGTGGCCAGTGACGGAGAGATCAAGATTCGACCTCCTCTCTTCCTAAAACAAGGTTTGATGAAGCAAGAACCAGTGAAATCGGCTGGAGGTCAAACAAAAAAGGACGTTTTTGCTCAAGCACTCGTGGATTCTGATGGTGAAAAGGAAAGTTTTATTGGGAAGAACAGGCCAATGCTTCAAATTAGGCCAATTCACGGCAATAAGCCGGAAATTCCAAAGATGTTACCCTTGAGTATTCCATCTATCAATCCACTGAAGAGAGCCCTTGATGCCGCAAATGAAGAAGTTATTGTTTTGAAGAAGAAAGTGTGTGAACACACGACTACCATTTCCGAGTTGTACGCCATATTGGGAGAGAAAGAGCTTCAGATGCGACGTTTGAAAGCCGAACGTGATGCCGCTGTTTATAAGAGTAGTGGACCGCGCAAACAAGACCCATCAGCCAGTTGAGAAATTTCTAATGCTGTTTTTCTATTTTTGATGGTGTTCCATCTTTTTTTATTTTCAATTGCTTTTTAGAGTTAGTTTTTAATAAATTGTTACGGCAAAATGACAAGTTAAATAAACTGGCTTTCATGGTCCGTTTAAGTATCTGTGAATGATGTTAAAAATGGTTTTGCGGGTTGTCGAGCTTTCAAAAATGTAGTAAACACTAATTGTAGTAAACGCTTTGGTCTAATGGTTTTATTTTTTGGCCACGATCTTGGTACTGGATGTGTTACCTTGAATCTATTTCTAAAGTAAATGAATTATGGCTTTGCTTTCAATTACATGCCACTTTGAGGGTTTTTGACGCGACGAAAAGCGCCTATAAACGCTGACAGACAGTGGCTTTATGAGCATACATTTTTTGAATTTTCGAACTATTGCAATAACAGACTTTTTAGAAAGATCGCTTTGTTTAAAAATACTTAAAGTTTCACGTGCATACATATTCACTTCTATTTAGCCATGGATCTACTCAGCAGCTACAATGTGGATGACGATGAGGGTGACGTCGAAGTGAACAAAGAAATAACGAGCCTTCCAACAAAATCATTAGCTCTACAGGTAATTTTTACTTTATATGACTGTGATTTTAGTTTTATTTAGATGGCACCAGATGTTATGACGAAGAGCTCAATACTAACAATACCGATCGCTGACGTGACAAAAAAAGAACTCAGCTACAATCCGAAGTTTGAAGAACTTTTTCAACCCGAGGTTTTCAATTATTATTTTCCCTTGTTAATTTTTCTTTTAGGCTGGTCCGTCTAATCCGTTTAAGTCCGACCGGCAAAGTGCCAAGAAAAATACGCTAGCAGGTATCGCAAATTAAAAAGCAAAAACATTTATTTTTGTAGGATTTGTTGAACCGGCCCATATAAACGATTTTCATTTTGAGCGAGAAATTCGCTCTTTCAACACGCTTGGATACGCTCGTAATCCTTCAGCAAATGCTGGTAAGTTGGATGTATTGTTTTCTTCATTTTAAAGTCATAGGTGGCCATGAGTTTCTCGGAGAAAAAGCTACTGAAGGCGCTAAAACCGATGGTGCCTCTTTGTTTGACGGGTCAAAGACTGGGGGCGAGAAACGGAAGCGAGTGTATAATTTTGACCCAACTGATCTCGAGGGATATACAGGTTACTCCAAGTTCATAATTTTAAATAAAAATTGTTCCGTTTAGGTCCTTGGGCAAGATATGAGAATCAGGTAACCGTCTCTAAACCCGATGAAGCACTACAAAAGGAAATGGACGAAATTGTCAAGAAAAGACAAAAGGCAAGCAGTTTATAAGCAATTTTGAAATTACTAATTTTGTCTTTAGAACAGTCGCAAAGGACAGCGCCAAGCTTTGGAAGAACAAGGAAATGTGGAGGAAACGACAACCTTGCATCGTGAGTATTTTGGTGGACTTTTTTACATTAAACTGAGCTTTTAGTGAAAGAAGCCATCGATTATCAAGGAAGATCATTCCTTCATGTGCCTACATTCACCGGTGTCAATCTTAAAGAGGACTTTGTTCCCGATCGATGCTTTATTCCTAAGAAACAGGTTTGAAGGCTTGATCACAAAATTTTAAAAAAGTATTTTATTAGATGCACACCTATAAAGGACACAACAAAGGAATAAACACACTCAAATGGTTTCCGAAAAGCGCTCATCTGTTTTTATCGTGTTCAATGGATACAAAGGTGTGACTACTAGTTTTACTGTTCAAGATCTGAGTTTTAGATTAAACTATGGGAAGTTTATGGGAAACATCAAGTGGTGCGAACATACAGTGGACACAGGATGCCCGTTCGAGATGTTGCTTTCGATTACGATGGATCCTCTTTTTGTTTCTGGATCATTTGACAGATACATTAAGTTGTGGGATACGGAGACGGGACAGGTTTTTTAAAAGCAAAAATTTCTAAATTTTCCACTTTTAGGTTAAACACAGATTCACGACTGGACATCCGCCTGTTTGTTTGAGATTTCATCCGGATGAGGACAAGCGCCATATGTTGATGGGTGGAATGCAGAATAAGAAAATTGTACAATGGGATATTCGATCAGGAGAAGTTGTACAAGTACGTTGGATTTCGTTAAATTTTTATTAATTGTTAAAATTTAGGAATATGATCGTCATCTTGGCCCTATCAATTCCATCACGTTCTTCGACAAAAATCGGCGTTTTGTTTCTACATCCGATGATAAATCTCTGCGTATCTGGGAGTGGGAAATCCCGGTCGACACAAAGTTGATTCAAAATGTTGGATTGCAATCGATTCCATGCATGACAAAGAGCCCTACTGGTACTTTTTAAACCTTTCTTATAGACTTTTTCTGGAAACCTGCTTAACTATATGAATTCTGGTTGATAATTGTCTAATTGTTATCGATTTAGACAAGTGGATTGTTGGACAGTCGATGGACAACAGAATCGTGCTCTTCCAACTGATTGATGACAAGCTGCGATTCGCCAAAAAGAAAGCCTTCCGTGGCCACAATTCAGCCGGCTATGCTTGCTCGATTGATTTTTCACCAGATATGAGGTAAGTGAGAAGGGAAACATAGTTCCTATGTAAGGCTCAGTTAAAATTTGAATTGTTTGCTGACTGGAGATTGAAGCCTGTCATGTCATACCAATGCAGCTTTTATAGATTCTTGCTTATTATTGTTTTAATTACATTTGTTTTTAGCTTCCTTGCAAGTGGAGATGCAGACGGAAAAATCTTCATCTGGGACTGGCGCACGCATAAAATTGTTGGAAGGTAAGGACTCTTACGAAATGCCTTGATTTTTATTGATATTAAGCCGTGCTTCAAATCTAAAGTTATTAAACCGTCACTACACTGACATAGGGTATATCTATTTACTTTTAGATGGAAGGCTCACGCTCAAACATGTATCAGTGTTTTATGGCATCCACACGAGAAGAGCAAGATGATATCGGCGAGCTGGGACGGTGATATTAAGATGTGGGCGTAATAAACGCCTGCTAAATAAACCCAAACAATATTTTTTTATTTATGCGTACGTTATTGTTATATTTTGTGTTCAAATAAATATTTTTGGTTCACTGCTCAAAATATTTATTGTATTCAAACGAGTTATACTGTTATTTTATATGCGTGTTTAGATGTATGCCAAACTAGGGTCCATACATCATGTAATGTCAATTGAAAAATGCACATTTAGCTAGATGAAGACTTTATGTAGAACGCTTTTGATGCGGATTACGGCAAGATCGGCGGGAACCAGCTCAACAAATAAATTTGATCCAATGGACGGCAAGGTAATAGTGTTTTAACTGTTCGGGAAATTTGCTGGCATTAATAATTATCATTTTTAGGTTCATCTCAATGTAAAAACCATTGAAAATCACAGCCGAGAAGTAGGACGATTCAAGACGAATAAACCACCGTAATTTTTAAACCGGGTAAGAATATAACGTTAATAATTTAGAGTCTATGTGGGACCGTACGTTCACCCTCTGAAAGTTGGTCCTGATTTCACTCTACGAGGTTAGTTTAAAAGAAGAATTCGGTAATAAGTTGTTTTTAGACAATCGACCTTGCCCGTTCACCTCGAAAGAACAGTTGGAGCATAAAAAGGATCAGATTCGATTAACGGTAAGTGTTAGCTTTTCTCTCCACAAAAAAAAAACATGCAAAATTTAGAAAAAAATTGTTTCACTTTTGGCGCAGATGGATGAAATTGAAAAAGAGAACGAGGGGTCCACGATAAAGAAACTTGGCAAGGCCACCGAACAAATGAATGAACGACCACGCGCAAAAGGAAATAAACTGATTAGGGAAACGTAATTCTTTTGTCACTTAACGTAAATTTATATTTTGCTTTTTTGTAGTGAGCCGTTTAGATAAAATAGAATTGCTGTATAGTTGCTTTGTACTTTTTTGTTGGTTATTGTTATTTTATGAATAAAGCTGAAAAATGACTAAATTTTCATTGATGTTCATGTTTTGCGACATGATTGTATCTAAATTGTAACACTTTGGTTCGTGATTAAATTGAGCAACTGGGATAATAACTTTTTCTATAGCATGGCTCTCGAGATTGAAAAATCATTCTCCGGTGTGTCTGGCGGAGATGCTGAGGTGATTCATTTGATTTGATTTGTCTATTAAAATAAATTTTTAGGAAAATCTACAAATTCGTCTGTTTTTTCAAGAGATAGAAGACCGCGAATGGAAAGAGGCCATAAATACAATACGGGCTTGTAAGGTTGGTTAATGCAAATTTTCCGCAAAGTTTGAATTCAGTGTTGCATTGTTTGAAGATAGTATCAAACAGATTTACGTTTTTCGAACTATGAAAATGAGAATAGTTTCAATCTAAACATTTTTAGAGTGCCCACTCGAGGCAAAATATGCTCCGCGAGCTGTTGGCGAGATTGCTTCAGCAACAAGAATGGGAAACGATTTGTAAAAAGATCTCTTGGGACGAGTTTTCTGATGAAGTAAGCATATTTGAATCCGACAATTGTTTGATAGTTATTACCATTTGTCGCTTTAGGTTATTTCCCAACTGACGCTGAAAGCCCTCAACCAACCGCCCAACGTGACGCCAAATTGTTACGAGTTGATGGTCGCTTTCTACATAGCTCAAAAGGATTACGTGCAAGGTGGAGCTTATCAAAATTTGAACCAACTGCCAGTTTATTTTAGCTTCGAAAACGTTGTATCATTGGTCCGAGCAATTAAAGAGATTAACACAAGATCCAACGGTAAAATAATTTGTTCATTTTATGTTCAGTGTCTTATAGATTCTTGCTAAACGGCGGGATGCTCTGTCTGCCTCGGTGATGTACTTGAATATGAGCAAGCGCGAGGGTTTTCCTTTCACCGAAACCTCGGATGTTTGTTTTTAAAAGATTATTTTTCATTTGACGTATTTAGAGTGCAAAGAGTAGCGTATCATCTACGTCTGCCGATGATGAAGGCATGGATGAAACCGATTCGCAAGGAACATCAATGAGTTGGATAATCAAGGAAAAGGTAAACTTTTAATGTTCAGTAGCATGCTACCATTACTTCAGAACGTCAAATTGAATATTTTAGAAAAAGCCCGAAACGACCAATATTTCCTACATTAGCAAGGAGCGGCTTGAACGCGAGGTAGGTACTACGTTTGTTCACTTATATCTTTTTTGCCTTTAGTGGGCTTTGATTGACGGGCGAGTGATCTATTGGGATGAAAAGCAAGCAATTCCTCCATCCGATCCCCAAGATATTTTCAATTTTCTTTTGGAGACTCGTCGCTTCAATCTCGCATTAGGATTTGCAAGGTTTGAAAAAAAAGCTTAAAGAGTTTATTGAACTGACTGGTTTAGACACTTCGACTTTTCGTTGGTTAAAGTTCTTCACGGGCTTGTGGTGGAAACGTTGAAGCTTGATCAGAACCATGAAATATTGGCCGAAGGTCAAATGTTTGTGTCAGCAAAGCTAAGCAGGTAAACCACAAAATAAATGCACCCATGTTGAAAGCACAAAAGTAATAAAAAAGTAATAAAAAATTTTTAGTGATCCCTGGGAAGTGGTCAGAGGGTTGTTGGATACGATAATCAAAGCTCGGTCAGAACTGATAACAACATCGTTGCATTCAATTGCTGAAGAACTTTTACGGCACAAGGTTCAATTACCGTATTGGCTCGACTCTATGTATACGGTTAGTTTTAGTGTTAATTTTAGGTTTGAGCTGAAGTAAATGTTTACAATTTAGCTTACTAGTGAGTTTCAATTATAAATCCGTGTACCGGTACCTATTTTTAATTGTTTTTTAGGAACATGATGTAGGAGCTTATCTCCAGCTGCTCTCCGATTTTGGTCGAAACGAAGATGCGCTGAAAGTCTTAATTGCCTACACAGAACCAATGATGGGAAAAGTGGGTCGATCTGTTTTTTCATAGAAACTTGTGAGATAGTATTGAAATCATTCATGTTGAAATCATTTTAGTTGGTGGGCACGGATGTGCGAGTTTTTCTACCCTATTGGGCGATCGATGTGGTTTTGTTGAGAGCCAAAGAGGATGCATCTAAACGCGTTAAAGAGGTAAATCAGCTCTAAGGAAAGTGAAGAAGTTTAGCCATTTTACCTGTTTAGCGTACTATTTTAGTTGTTTACGATAGCAGTCCGGTCACTGCAAGCTCTACAAAAACGAGTTCAAAACTTCGAAATCGCCAATAAGCAATCTCATTTTGCCGGATCTCGTTTTTAATTTATTGTTGTATGTTATTTTTTTATTCAGTCATGCACTTTGAAAAAGATATGGGTATTTGATAATAGTAATTGTATATCGTGTTGTTTGAAGTAAAGTTTGATGATGCAAAATGATGAAATTCGAAATGGCTTTTGGGCCGGCCAAACGGCGTTCTTGAACTTTTCAAATTTGCTTTTCTCCCTGTAATTCATTTGATTTAATAGTATTGAAGTAGTCTTTAGTTGCCAATGTTTCTGCGAGCTTTGAGTCGTCTTTCCGGCATCATTCCGTCGACGATCGAGGCACGGGGTTCGGCACAATTTACGAAAACCCTATCGACGCGGCATCAAAGCACAAATGCAACGGGCAGTGAGGAACAGAAGAACTTGGATTTGCCACTAACCGACAATGGGAAACGAATATCTGGAGAAAATTACCTAGCAAATGTGCGAAAAGCTTTCGAGAATGGAGACAAGGATGAATGGGCATTGCCGGCCAAAAATGTTCTCTCGTTAATCAGTGAATACGATGTTTTGATAAATGAGAGTGCCGATTTCAAGGACAAATATCAACGAGCGCTCGCCGAGATGGAAAATGTTCGCCGACGTGGTGTGAAGCAAGTCGATGACGCGAAGACTTTCGCTATTCAGGGCTTTTGCAAGGATCTCCTTGAGGTGGCAGATATTCTTGATCTCGCCATGGGCAGCATAAAGAAAGAGGATTTGGATGAAGGCGGGAAACAACTGCAGGACATTTACGAGGGAATCTCGATGACAAAGCGGGTGTTGCTGAAAATATTTGATAAACACGGTTTGACGGCCGTTGATCCGATGGGCACAAAATTCGATCCGAATCTTCATGAAGCAATCACACAAATACCCGCAAAGAGCGTCAACGTTGAGCCTGGAAATATTGCTTTTGTTTCGAAAATTGGCTACTCATTGAAGGGCCGACCGATTCGCGCCGCACAAGTCGGAGTGGCAATTGACTAGTGTTAGTAGATCGAATAGAATTGTTGTGTTTATCATGTTTTTGTGTTGTTTTGTCCCAAATTGTTTGTTTATTGAAATAAAGACTAGGTTTAGAACGTGTCGAAAAATGGAGGATTTGGATTGGCAATTCGACCCGATTCCCGACTACGATAATCATTGGAACGCTTGGGACGGTGGTGAACAAAATACGCCAATCAAGGTAAATTCGGTTTTAGAACAACTCATAAAGTTTCATTTAGGAGTCAAACCAAACAATTTGCCTGGATTCCGACGAAGAGGCAGGCCCGTCGAAGGTTGACGAAAGCGAGGAGAGATCGCTGTTTCTGGACGAGTATTCTACGCCAATAACGAGTACAAGTTCGTTTAAATTTATGTAAAGCAATTGTATAGCTAATAATGATTCTAAAATCTTGAAGAAATATGGCTGAAGCTTTCAGCCATTCTGTTTAAATCTTGGCACTCGTAAAAAACACTGAAATTTCTTGGTTTAGAGCGGCGCTTCCAAAGTACGACGAGATCTGTGTCCAAAAATGCCAAATGCTCCACTCAAGTTCCTGGGAATTCTCTAAGGTGAGTATTAGAACTTTTTAAAAATTTAATCTCTTAAATTTAGTTTAAGAAGACGAAGCTACTCGCATTGTGAATTGACTCCAATAGTTAAGCCTGAGAATCGGGTAGTTAAAAAAGTTTGATTAATTACTAAGCTATTCAAAAATTCTTATGATTTTGTATTTATTTTTGTATGGAGACTAAAAATCAACCGTATTCTAATGTATTTTATACTATAAGCAGATTCTTATTCTTATTTTCAAATTTAGAAAAGGAAATCTACAGAAGGCTGCCTTACTCCCGCAAAACCTGTCAAGGAACGAGTCTTACCAAAGGTAATCGAATGAGTTTGGTAAATTTTCACAAACCAAATTTCAGCCTACACGACCACCAAAGCGGACGTTTGTTGTCAACGAGTTTTTCGGAGTCTACTGCCTCATTAATCGCAGCAATAAACCGAGGTGGAAAGTAGGTTCTTGTGTTTAATCAAAGTAGCAAATCGTTTAGAATCGGTGCTACATTGGAAAAACAACCGACCCAAATCGACGAATTGAACAGCACAACGGAGGCATGGACAAGGGTGGCGCAAAAAAGACCCACGACAGGGGACCTTGGCGAGTTTTTTTTGCGGCACTGATGAATTGCAGATAAACATAGATAAACAAGTAATTTTAGGGATATGGCTTGCATCATTCATGGATTCCCCAACGCAATCTCTACTCTTCAATTTGAATGGGCCTGGCAAAATCCGGGCAAGAGTGTCACCATCAAGGGCAAATGTCTCGACAAGAAAGAAGCAAAGGAAACAACATTTGCGCACAAGTAAGTAAGATTTTAACACGCAACAGAAGAAACTTTATTGGCGCATTAAAATTGTTCAAGGCGATTCTTATTTCGAGTTTGGGGATAAGTTGGTGGAGTGCAGTGACGAATTTCATTTTTTACGATTCGCGGCGAGGATGATGTCGGCTTTCTTTAAGGTCATCTCTGAGGGTATCCATCCAGTAATTTGGCCTTTATTCTTGAGCATCGGCTGGGCATACACGCGCAATCTGATTCGCACCTTAAAAGACTATTTTTGAGCAATAGGTAGTCAAAAAAATGGGCTCACTTGAGACTCCGTTTCCTGATCAATCCTTTCGACGTGAACTACCGGTTGACCTGTGATGCCTAAACATTCGATTAAGCCCACTCAACCCTAAAGACTACCGTTTTGTGTGGATGATCGCTTGTCTGCGACTGATCTCTCAACATTGCATGTGCACTCATTCACGGGACTAAAGTCGAAAAATCCACGATATCACATAGAAATCAACCTCTGCATCTTGTAAAGTTTGCTCCTTCCAAAAAGCGTTCCTTTTTGGAGGGCTTGCAAGCTGGGGAGCTGCGAAACGTAGAGTGGTTGATCTAAAAGAAAATGAATATGTAAGTGACAGAGAAAGCTTACCGATTGCTGAAGGATTCGCTTTTATTAACGCATTTTCCGAGCGTTGATCCGAGCTTTGTCTCGATTTCAGGCGATCCATCGAGATGCCGGTTTTCGAAGAAACTTTCCTAGAGAAAGCAAGAATTAGTAAAATTCGACGATATCCCTTAAATCAAAAAACCCCAGCTAAGTTCTGGCTTTCTAGCCTTTGAAAAAAAACGAACTTTTCCGTGCCGTTGCTTTTCCACATTTGCGAACGCGAAACGTGGGTGATTGAGGTGGAAAAATCGAGGTTTCGTGTGGGCGAATGTCCAGCCGATGTGTCATCGAGGGCTGAACTAAATGAGAAATTAGTAATAGAGTCTAAGAAAAGAAACTTTTGTAGACTGATTGCTGTAGAAACTGAAGGTTCACTAGAAATACAAGGTCGTTATAAAATGAAGATAAAATCGTTCACCAGTCTAAAGTTTGCATATCATCATTGTCGCAAGGTTTAAGAAGCATTTTGTTTCTCAATTTGACTGAATACAGACGTTTTAACAAAGTTTTGTAACAAAAAGTTGAACTCTATAAGGTTTACGTTAAAAGTAAGACAAAAGAAAGAAACGAAAAAACCCACGACATGTTGCGCTCATCTGAAATTGAAACGAGTTCGAGTAGTCTATGAATATGGTTTACTTGGCTCGATTGCGTTATATTTGAGGGATAAATGTAAATTTGGTAAATGTAGATGTAAATAATGTAGAATACAAATGTAAAGAGGTTTATGTTAATTTTTATCTTAGCATTCGAATCGCATGCTATCTGATGAATTGCGATCGTTGGAAGGATTTGGCCCTCACATTTCAATGGCTCATTCCGGTAAGTGTATTCGATACTTTTTTATATGTAAGTAAGATTTTAGAAAGAAGAAATCCCGTTTCCTCCACAAGTCCCTTTTCCACCGCAAATGCGAGTCGCTTATGGATTAATCGAATGTGGGAAAACAGCGGTGAGATTTTATTGGCACTTTTTTTGATGAATTTTTTTTAGGTACCAATAGGATTCGATGAATTGGAGTCATTGCAAAAGTGTTTGATCTGCGGGAAAACTATTGTAGAGGTATGTTTTTGTTGATGAGCAAACGGATAAATTGTTCTTGTTTTCAGCTACGTCAGCTCGGTCGATGTCTCTCGTGTCGTGCACAGCATCATCTTATTTGCTGGGCAAATGGGGCACTTTCAACGAAGAAGCAACGCTACCTCTGGCCCGTCGAGGCAAAGTGCCAAAAATGCGAAAATGTGTTGGTTTTTTTTTTATTTTTTTGATGTCATTGTCGATAAGAAAGAAGATTTGTCTAACAATTGGGCATTTAGAAAAACTAACGGCTGATTTTTATAGACTTTTAATTAATTGCTCAAAAAGTGTTGTAACAATTTGCCTCCTTTTAGAAACCTTTGGGGCGACATCATTCGCGATCAACGTATGTTCCTCAAGACGGACGAGGCTCAAAAAGTCCCCGAATTGCAAAATCTCCTTCTGAAAAAAGTGCTCAATGTAATGTAAATATTTTTTAGTTTTTTAGGATAACTTCTCATTTAAATGATCTCTTTTCCGTTTTCATCTCAGCTTTTCGTTTTCCTGTGATAACTTGCGATTTATGATGTGAATTCGTTGAATCTTTGGTATTTTCTAGTAAATAAAGGTCTATTTCTATATGCATGTCAAATTTTTTGGGTCGATGCCCGTATATCCAAACTCTTGAAATCGTTCTTGCTTTCTAAATCTTCGTTTAGCAATGATCATCCCGATTCGGTGCTTTACGTGCGGAAAAGTGATTGGGAACAAATGGGAAGCATATCTTGGTCTACTTCAATCAGAATACACGGAAGGTTGGTTGTTGTTCGATACGAAAACTCGACTTCAACTTTCCTCTTTAGGTGATGCACTCGATGCACTCAATTTGAGGAGATACTGTTGTCGAAGGATGCTTCTCGCTCACGTCGATCTCATCGAAAAACTCCTCAATTATCATCCACTCGAGAAGTGAATGCGCTCGTTGATCTCTTTCTCAATTTTATCGTTATTTTTGTTACTTTCTTTTGTTTTCAAGTCATGTCATATGAGAAAATTTATTGAGGTTCCCAAAAAGCTACACAAAATACACAAAATCGAGATCAGAAAAGAAAACAAAAAGTACTCGGAAGATGGTAGATAAATAATGAAATGAACATAGAAATGAATTCAGAAAAGGCCTAGGGAAAGCAAAAGAGACGAGTAGAACAAAGAAAGAAAACAAGTAGCCAATCAAATAACGGTCGCAAAAAGTACCCCCATATTTTCATCAAAAGATTTGTAGTTAAGAGAAATAAATTAGTACACCATATTTCGAGTCGTCCTTACCAAAAAACAACAATTTGAGCGTTTATTGGAAGAACAACTAAGAATAAAATATTGTAGCTTTACATTTGCACATAAAAGTGCTTATAATAACGAGTGAAGTAAAAGAGAAAATGAGGGAGAAAAAGACACAAACCGAGAAAAGAGAAAGATTATTATGTGGAGAAAAGCAATATGACGACACGAACAACAAACCCTAGCTATAATTATCTAATCGAAGCGGAGAGGACATCACATTCGATAGGCCTAGATCGGAGTTCAATCCCGCGATCGCTGAAGAGACAACATTTGCCGCAGATGCGGTTGTGGCTGCAGTTGAAGTTGAAACGACGGCAATCGAGTCACCCCGTCGACGCGATTCAATCCATTTTTGAACTTCTCTCTAAAATTGAATAATTAGAAACATTTCCATTATGTGCTTCCCTCAAAAATAAGCCTATTCCTGTTTGTTTTATGTTTTAACATCAAAAATCCACTTTACTTACATTATTTCTGAGGCGAATGTTCAGCACTTCTGCTTTCACTCGACACATCTGCGAGAGAGCCTGTGTTTGATAGAGTCTCAACATCGATTGTCCATTTCTAAACCAAAAAACATTTGAATTAGCCAAAAGTCAAAGAAAACCCACTCAATGAGTCGCTTCTTTTCGCCGCTCATCTCTTGGATAAGTAGTCTTTCATCATCTAACTGAAAAAGAAATGCCCAAATAAAATAAAGCAGAGTTCAACAGCAGTTCAATTGTCCCAAATTTTGTAGTCTTGGTTTTGAATTCAATTCTATTCACAACAACTCATGGAGCAAAAGAACAGAATTTAGGTGAGCTTTTATGAATTCATACCGTTGGATCCTTTGGTTTCAATGGGCCAAATGGTGGGCGGAATCGCTTCTTGAAATTCTTGATATGATCCGTTGCAACCACCTGAAAAAACACGAAAAGTTGAAAAGTCGTACAATTTTATCGCATGCAAAGATCGAAATCGAAAGACTATCATCGAAACAGATCACAACACTTTTACCCTACCAAAAAATGGGAAATTTCTTTGTGCTCTTCGTGAATAGAATTCTGTAAAACGAGGATCTGTTCAAGAAGGCTTTTCGAATTAAAAACTTACATTGCTTTCCGTCCGTTCCTCCTCGATATCCATTGGCACAGAGCCACCCTCTATATCCCGATTATCAAAATCGTTTGGCGGAGCTAAATGAAATTTGTCTCAACAATTTTTCCCAACAAAGGTCTTACCATGTTTTGCAGCACTTCCATTCACATGTTGTTTCACAATTTGATCGTCACTGAGACCACGAGAGAACTAAATAAAAACATGTTCAAAAATTACGTAAAATTGAAAAACTTTATTAGGTTTTATATCAAAACCCACTTTCGTCGCTCTTTCATCGCCATATCTCGGCTTTTCCTCTATCTTTGTTTTTGGATATTTGTTCTCGAAAATGCTTGAGCTTGACGGGTTATCGTTCGTCTCATTTTGGTAAGCTGGAGTAGAGTTTCGATAAGCTGGCACCTAGAAAGTTGTATGAATTTATGCATTTTGGCTTTGCTTTCACCAGTATCCTATAAAAGCTTACGTGGGCATTTGTGTTGAGTTCTCGGAAATTCTCCCGTTCTCTTTCTTTATCCTTTTGAAGAAATTCCCGATTCTCTCGGTCTTTTTCTCGTGGCGAGTTTCGTGGGTAAGGCCGCTTACGATCTCGATAGCTGAAAAATTCTTTGTTTTGGCTCAATACAGGTGTTCAAAAAAAAAAGTTCCCCATTTCAACTCAGATCTCCGAAAAGTGGCTCAAGGTGGTGGTCTTGGTGTCAAAGCTGTTTTTTTGGCGTCGCAATTTTTTTCCTTTTTTTGGAAATTTTCCTGATTTCATGACCCCTCTTACATGAAATTTCTGGTGGGAACCATGATGGCTCATGTGCAGGGTGTCCGAAAATAAAGTCACTTTTTGTCAAATTTTTGAAAAACTTTAAGTGGCTCAAAGTATGGTGCAAAAATGATTTTTTTGAGGTCGCAAATTTTTGATCTTTTGTCATGATTTTTACCATATCATGATCCTCTATACAAAAAATTTCCCATACTACCATGGTCACCACCACCATGAGATTTTTGTCATCAAGCTAAAACTTTCTACTGGCATCGTGGTGTCATATTAGAGTTAATACATAAACTATGATTTTTAGCCAAACACTTTATTCACCTACATTATATGATAATCTGTTGTACATAAGAGATTTTCAACTCGCCTTTTTAAAAGAAGTGTCCCGTTTTTCCAAGGAAACGCTGATCAATAAAATGTATGGTTTTTTTAATTTGTAGTCATCTTAATAATGTTTATTATGCACCACGGTGTCAGTAGAAAGTTTTAATTTTATGGCAAAATCTTATGGTGATGGCAGCCATGGTGGCTTAGAAATGTCATGTATGAAGGGTCATGTAATCAGGGAAATCTCCAAAAAAGTCAAAAATTGCGACGTCAAAAAAAACAGCTTTGACACCAAGACCTTGAGCCACTTAAACCTTTTCAGAAATTTGAGTTGAAATGGGGAACTTTTTTTTTTGAACATTCTTTAAATCAACCCTAAACTATTTCTTCATCCATTTTTAAAAGTATTCTGACCATTTTCGGCCACTTTGCATATATTAAAAATTTACTGCTTTATAACTCACCCAGCAATGTCTTTCTCGCGTTGTTCCTTTTCCCGTTCACCTCGTTGATCTTTGTTTCCATCTCGCCCATCTCGGTTATTTAAAGCATTCGACGAATTGTGGAATTGTCCTGGATGCGCCTTTGGTGACGATGAATTGTTGGAAGCAGCTAAAAATAAAAGTGAAGGATTAACTAAACAATTTGATAGACTACACGGTGCATACAAACAATCACGAAAACGCTCACCAATATGCTGTGACACATTATTCATCGAAAATGAGAGTTGAGGAGCTATCGGCCCGGGTCCATACGGATTTGAATATGGGTGGCCAGTTACTACAATACAACAAGAAATAGAAAAATTAGAAGAAACGAAAGTGAATACCAGTGTGCAAGTTTAACGAAGACGTTGGAGGCGGCGGTGGTGGTGGATGAGGGACGAGGTAGCCTGCCTAAAAGCATATATTTCTATAAAGCAATTCAAAAGATTGTTTGCTCTTTTCGGGGTTCACATCAATTGAGCATCAACTCAAAGTATTTTTCCTTCAAATTTTCCAGCCAAAAGGCTTTTTTCCAACTAAAACATACCTGATACATTTGTGAGCCTGAAACAGTGGCTGCAGCGGCCTGTTGTGGTCGAGTATTGTTTGAATAACCCATCGGTTGTTGTCGTTTCTAAAATAGACATATAAAATGTGTCAATTTGGCAGAAAAATACCTGTAAACGGTCATATTCTTCAAGCTTTCTTTCGTACTCTTTCCATTCCTCGGGCTTTTCCCATTGTGATACTTCTGTCGATCTAAAAAAATTGAGCTGAATAAATTCTTTTAACTTTATAAAAATAAGCTTGATAAGCATTTAACAATTCCTAAAGTACATTTAGTCTTTGAATGTACAAAAAAAACACCTTACCGATTGTAATAATATCGCTTTCCACTTGACGACGTTTGTTCTGACCAGTCACCAACTTCTTTGACTGGTTTCATACCTGAAATTTCTTTAATTAACTATAAATCTCAAAAAGAACACCGAAAAAAGAGAAATCAAAGAAAACATGAGACTGAACGAGGGAAATCGGAAGAGAAAAACCCGAATTCAAGGTGAATATCGTCTAGAATTGTTAAAAATTCAAAGAAAAAAGTATTTAAGAGAATATAAAAGACATGAATAGTATAAACTCGGTAGATGATGGCAATCAGTGAGAACAAAATGACTAGCTGAGCAAAACAAAAGAAGACCAAATGACACAGAACTAGTTTAAAGAAAGACCTCGTAGTGAATTGAGCATTTATCTAAGTAAAAGTTTTTTTTAAAAGAAAATCTTCATGCTAAGCCAAAATCAACAGGTTCTATATGTGCAAAAGAATAAAAACTAATCAACTAAACTACATTTTCCTATAAGCCTAATACTAAAAAGCGTCGATGCAAAAACTCGTAAACTGAATTGGTGATGCCCCAGGCAATGAGTGATCGGCCGATATTCATATGTACTCCGTGATAGAGGGCAAAAATTGATCCACGTTCTTTCAAAATCAGTTGAAGCGTCGAGAAACCGTCTTGGCGAGGACCACCAATCTATAAGAAAATGATATAAAAACCGATTTCGAGTACACAAATTTAATTCTCCTACAACAATTTTCTATAAAAGAAACTTTCTACACTTATTGCTCTCATTTTAATTTCCCTAAAGCCATAATAGATAAACGACGCAATTTGTCACAAATAGCTTGTCTTCGTGTGAAAGACTTATTCCTTGTGATATAATTTTTAAATGCTGATAAAAAAGAAACCTGTGACTGAATCCTATTTTTCACAACGTTGAAAGGGAAGAAGAAAGTCGATATCGTTGTTCCAAGCACTGCACCCGACACAAACTCGGCCACCACACGAGGTGTCCCAGTATCAAGTACCGATCCGCCATTCATTTGCAGTATTATCTAAAAAATAATAAAATTGATCGAATCCAAGAAATGATAAACTCACATCTTTGAGCGGATTTCGTAGACCAAAGAAAAAGATATTAGATAAGCCGTTTCGCGCAACGATCACCGAGAAGCCACGCCAAAACTCGCGATATCCATGTTTTGATTGAACGTAACGAAAAGCCGCTAATGTGTTCTAAAAATTTTGATACCGAGCTAACAAAATTATCTTACCTCAAATTTATGATGAAATTCTTTCGTTTGTAACAGCACTTGTACTCTCTCCAAAGGGCATAGCATCGCTTCACAGACACCGGCAAGAAAAGCGGCCGCACAATGGCAAGGAGACGTAAGAAGTATCCCTAAAATGCAACTTTATAGTCAAAGCTCTTTAACAATATACGAATACAGGCTGAAAAGCTGAAAAAATATTCCAGCAGCAAATGACTAGACACCTTACCTTTCATTGGTGCACATTGGCTGACAAAACGATCATAGAGTCCAAACATTAGCGCTCTCGATAAGGATCGCATCACGAGTGGCGGAAGTAGGCCACGAAACAACAGCTGCAGCCCCTCGGAGCGTAGTTGTGCAGCAGCCGGTCCCGTCTAAATGAGGTAAATAATTAAACGCCATTAATTGAGTCAACTATCTAACTTCTTCTCGCTTGATACTTTAAAATTTCCTTAATAAAGTCTTGTTAGTATTTAACTACTTGTTCAACACATAGCTTAAGATTTAATATCAATTAAAATCATCTAATCCCTCAATAGCAAATTTAAACCCATAGCTTGGCACAGCATTAGGTCAAACTGTAATTTGCTTTTGTTTTGTTTAAAAATCTTAACATCCAACAAGATCGGTATAAAGACAATAAACAATGCTCACTTTCAAACCGTGCAATTGTTGTCGAAAGATGATTTTGTTTGCTGGATATAGTAGACATGTTTCCACCGATCCGGCTCCCCAACCCGCAAGAAGCTCCCTCGGTAATCCCGATTTTGTCTTTTTCTTCTCAAACGTCGGAGGCGACTCATTCATCGCCCGATTACAAGAGGAATACCTGAAATAAGAAAAATATCGGATTAGCTATAAAAAGCGGCTCGCAAAAACGCCCAAAACGAACTCTTCGCCGATTTCTACGCGACAATTTTTTCTTACGTTTGGCTGAAAGGGGATCATGTGGTCCCACAGCGAAAACCCTTTACTCAAACAATCCAATACGCTCTGCCATTTTATTCTTTTCATAACCCAGTGCAACCATTACCGATTCAAATTTTCTGCAAAAGTTTTTTAGTAACTATAATTTTTTTCATTGTTTTTCTTTTTCTTTGCATTGACAATTTTATATCTCGACTTAAGCTCGCCAAAACACAGCTTAAAATACAGAAAGACCCTTTAGCTTTAGCAACCATACATATAAAGCAAGAATTCAAGTTAATCTTTATTTATCTAAAATGTACGCGATTTTTATTATTTATTTTTAATAAAAATGCTTCTAACGGATGATTTGTGGCGGGTTGATATTTAGCGGCTCATCAATTCTCTCAACAGCCGTATCTCACAGTCGATTCATTCTTTCCACGCGGTTCTTTGCCTAAAACATACAATGTTCATGAAAACTAATGAAAGAACAATGCACTTACCCCTTTGGGTCCACAATCAGGCACGTAGACAACGAGTTGACAGTCCAGCTTCTCGTTTACATAAAGCACACCACCAGCATTTTTAAACTAAAACTATTATAATCAATGGTAAATCTGCTAAAGCTCACTTGATTTGTATAAGCGGATGCCGAAAACAACGTGATCACTCTGTTGTTAGCAAAAGTTCAATAGCATCCAAGCACATCTAAATATAAAGAAAAGAAAATCGAAGTCACAAAGATGTGGCGAGATTCCACCGTGCACACAAAAGATCTCCGAAATTCTGGCCGCGATCGACATGTAGTTGAATGTTCTCTAAAGTTGAGATAACTAGGGCATATTTAGACGACAAGTAGCCTGCACTTCTTGTCACACCTTCACCCCATCGAATTGCGTCTGTGCAAGGCAAGCTTTCTAAAAAATAGTTTCTTTATATTGTAGAAGTTAAACACATACTTTAAATCCATATTATTTGTTTGTTCGCGCGCACTCGTGATTTCCAACAAGTAGACGTGATCCGGATATTGTACCTGCAAATTTAATCAATTTCAAATACCAAAAATAACACAAACTTTATGGGCAAATAGTAGCACACATTCAAGACTCATTGCACCCTGGTCAACATAGTCTCCCAAAAAGACGAATCGTCTAAAAAGGAATTTCATAGTGCAGAAATGTAAATGACGCACTTTTCCGGTGGCCTTCCGAGTGTCACAAAATGTTGATCAAGTCGTTGTATCAGATCAAGCCGCCTTCGGACGTCAGCCACAATGATTCCTGGAGCATCCACCTAAAGAAGTGCAAAGCATAACATTTATATTAGCAGCTATACCTGTAGAAGCTTATTTTCACTAGCAAAAAGAAACTTGCTCGAATGACGTGTAGAACCTCTGCTTCTTTGTAGTGAAAGTTGTGCACCTAAAACCAATAGATTAACAAGTATTTAAATCTTCAAGCTACCTCGGGTCCAAACTTCGTGTAATGCATATCCAGCATATCCAGGAATTTGATGTAATTGAAAGTATCATTCGACGGATCATAGGCAATACGAGTTGACCGATACTCATTTAACTTTAACAATCAAGCAATCAAACAAATCAACAGCAATCAAATGACCAAGAGAGAAAAGTGTACCCTAATGTGGATGGATCTCTTCGAATTCGATTGCGTCTTCTGCAGTTTCTCGAATTTCTCGGGTGGCACGATCTTATTCGAAAGCTTGAACCTAAAATAATCACAGAATTTGATTCAAAGATTCAAAATCTAACCTTTACCAGAGGGACAACGGCTTCGCTCGTGCATAGCGATCGCCATAGTTAGTCCGCTTGATTGATGGTGTGACGGCTTGATTCTTTGCTGCTCCGGCATCCACTTTTTTTGATTTGTCATGTTTCTCGGACCGCTTCTCCGATTTTCTTGATTTCCGCGACCCTAAAAAAAAAAACAAATTTTATAATTTTTCAACACAACATAATATATGCACAAAGTTAAACTGCTTAACAATAAATTAGTCCTCTTGTCGACTTCGATTTCAATTACCAAAACTTATCGAACGTCGAACTTTATCAAAATTAGCGATATCGAGAAGCAACGATGCCGATAATGATATCGATATCGAAACTTCACGATAAGCAGACCAAACAGAAATATCGCTGCACAAATGAGTAAACAAAGCAAAACCAAAGTTAAAAAAACTAACCTCCTTTCTTTTGCGAAACAACATCTCGCCAACCACAGTCGAATAAGTAGTAGGAATCATTTCTGTAAGGAATACAGAAATGATCGTAAAATCATTTCTGTAAGGAATACAGAAATGATTTTACGACATCACCGAAAAGACTTTAAATGACCTTTAAATGTAAATGTTATCTTAATATTCAAATTCCTAAAATGCACCAATTGACGTCGTTTTGTGACGCAACTTTGGCGCAACTTTTGAAGGTCGTTTGGTTATTCTCCATCATTTTTTTCGCAACTTCCCGCTCTTATTTATCAGGAAATTCTAGGTTGTTTCACTTTGTAAATTATATTAATATGTAATTGTAATTATATTAAGTAAATTATATTAAGTAAGGTCAAAAGCAGGCAAGTTGCGCAAATTGAATCTTCTGGGAGTGGGACAAATGCTACCTTTTTTTTCCGCACCTTGCCCATTAGCGCACTTTTTTTCGCGTTTTAAAAAAGCTCTAAAAAGCTAATATTAACCAATTTCTATTCCAAAAGTTGTTTTTCTAGGCAATTTGAGGGTGTCGAATTCAAATTTTGACATAACAGAGCGTGTGGAACCAATTTGAAAGACAAAACGGCTAGGTCAAATTACAGAAAATTGTTGATTTTTCTCTTTGTATAACTTCGTCCGTTTGTTTCCACAAGCTCTGATATGTCAAAATTTCGATTCTACGCCCTAAAATTACCTAGAAAAACAACTTTTGGAATAGAAATTGGTTAATATTAGCTTTTTAGAGCTTTTTAAAACGCGAAAAAAGGTGCGCTGATGGGCAAGGTGCGCAAATGGACGGGTGCGCAAAAAAAGGTCACATTTGTCCCACTTCCCAACTTCCCACTCTTATTTATCACGAAATTCTAGATTGTTTCATTTTGTAAATTATATTAATATATTATGTAATTATATTAAGTAAGGTCAAAAGCAGGCAAGTTGCGCAAATTGAATCTTCTCTTTTGCACGTTCAATTGTTTCTTGAAAAACCTATTCAAGCACTCTTACTTAGCGGTGGCTACTTTGCACCAATTTTTTTGCGCAATTGGCCATAACTTTCTTTTAATTGGGTCAATTTTTATGACTTTGGTGTCATTTTGTTGCACTTGAGATCTACAAAATGACACCAAAATCATAAAGATTGGCCCACTTAGAAGAAAGTTATGGTGAGTTGCGCAAAGTAGCCACCTGTTACTTTTCACCTTAAAGTAGCCAGCCTTTTTACTTTTCAAATGTTTCTTTTGGCGTTGTTTTTAGAAGTTTAATTATTTTTCTTGGTACTACGCCGTTTGGGGGGCGGGGGACACTTTTTTCTTCAAAACCACTTTTTCTGGGGGTAGTTTTATGCGTAGATTCCGAAAAAACAACGAAAGCTTGGGAAAAGGCGTTTTAAGCAGAGTTTCGGGGCTTCAAAGTGCGCGCCCATGCGGTGTGGTGAGGAGGTCTAAAAATGGTCTCCCAAAACATTTTTGGAAACCAAAAACACTTCTTCTGGCATAATTTAACCCACTGATTACGTTTATGACCAAATTGGATCAAAAAATATTGTTGTTTACCAAAGTCGATAGCTTGGGCTCCATAAAGTGAAGTAAACTATAGAAGCACGCACTTTGAAGCCCCGAAACTCTGCTTAAAACGCCTTTTCCCAAGCTCTCGTTGTGTTTTTTCGGAATCTACGTATAAAACTACCCTAGAAAATGTGGTTTTGGAAAAAAGTGCCCCCTCCCCAACCGACGTAGTACCTTTTTCTTCAGCAGTAATAATCTTTTATTTTTCAGGTTGCCTCTTCAAAGCAAAAAAAGCGGAAATGGCCGACAAAGTGATTGAACAACTGGAGGTATAAATTTTTAGCGCTTGTTTTATAGTGTTCCTCTTTTTAGTACTACTTCGGTAATATCAACTTGCCAAGGGACAAGTTTCTTCAAGAAAAACTCAAGGAGGACGACGGATGTTTGTTTTTTCACCTTGCTATGATAAACTTGTTTTAGGGGTCACTTTGGAAACAATGCTGAAGTTCAACCGTTTGGCTTCCATTACGACTGACACAAATGTGATCGCTGATGCCGTGAAAAATGCAAACTCGGACATAGTTACCATTAACGAGGTAGGCTTTGTGTAGTTAATATAGTAAATTGCCAAGTTGCCAAGCTTTGACTTGATACTTCAATTAAGCTATGACCTTAAACTTTTTAGGATGGCACAAAGATTCGACGCAATGATTCAAATCCACTGCCCGAGAACTCACTCGAATATTGGCAAACTATCAAGCACCGAACTGTCTACATGGTTTGTTTTAGCACTTTGCAGTTTTATTTTGTTTTTAGAAAGGCTTCAATCAAGACACTTCGCTGGATAGCATTCGCGAATGGGCGAAAAAATACGGCCATGTGGACAATGTTCTGATGAGGCGCACAAAGCCAGATCGCGTCTTCAAAGGCTCCGTTTTCATCACCTACAAAACAAGAGAAGAAGCCGAAAGTGCACAGAAGGTTTGTTAAAGTTTTTAAACATAAAAGGCCTTAATTTTTTGCATTTTAGAGCGAAGATAAGTTTGGCGGTGATACCGAACTTTTCAAGCTTATGCAAGATGACTATTGGGCCCAGAAGAACCGAGAGACCAAAGAAAAACGAGCAAATGAAAAAGTAATAGCATTTTTTTTTACTATGTTGTTTTTATCCCAAAGCTTACAGGCCATGAAGTCTTCAAAGAATGCCAAGGATAGCAAGGACGTAAAAAATGCACCAGTTGTCAGCTTTGTTAAGGGATTAATCTTGGAGGTAACTTTATACATCAAATAAAAGTTCTTTGCTTTATTTTAGGTCAGCGGTTTGCCCAAAGACATCAAGTTTGCCGAGATCAAGGAATTCCTAGCCAAATATGGAGAAGTCGCTTATGCCGTGCTTGATGAGAACAATCCAGAAGTTGCTCAGATAAGGTAATCGATTACTAGATTTTGTTGTCAAAATACAGTTTTAAGATTCTCCGGCGCTGAGAACAATGCACAGAAAGCTTGGGATACTGCTGTTGCGGCGGCTGAAGATGGAAAGCCAAAAATTGGCGAAAATGAACTAACAGCAAAGGTAAGTTTGCTTTGGGTAGCCCTCAACCTAACTTTTTAGGTCTTGGAAGGCGATCAGGAGGCTGCCTATTGGGAAAAATTCAACGAAAGCCGAAAACAACGACAACAGCAATCAAAACGGGGGCGCGGAAATAATCGCCGCGGTGGACGTGGAGGACATGGAGGAAGAAGCTCGGATCGCAAACGAGGCCATGATGATGATGCCAAAGATGAGCCCGCTGTCAAGGTAAAGTTTTCAAACAAAAAGACCAATTCATGACGTTTTTAGGGTAAGCGAACAGTGTTTGCCGATGAGGGTGAAGGTGACATGAAGAAGGAGCGCTTTTCACCAAAAAATGTCGCTGAATAACCAACCTCACCGTTCCCTGGTCTCGTTTTTTGTTATACGTTGTTCACAGTTGTTGATTGTTGTTACTTTAACATGATTTAATTGTTGTTAATTTACATGATCGTTGGATAAATATTCGTTACTCATTAAATATGACCATCAAACAAAAAGGCCAAGTGGGATTTGACCTCGTTTAACCAATACCGCTAACCATCGATAACCGTAGCAGGCTCCCAACTTTTTGTTTTAAATTATGCAGTATGCGTTTCATAAGGTACAAAAACAAAAGATTTACTAAGCAACTATCAATATTTACAGAATCACCGCAAATATTTACACAATTAAAAACAAAGCGTAGAAAATCCCCCAATAACTTATGATGGCCAACAGGGTACTGTTGTTTGATAAAACAAGAGCAATATTTAGGATCAGTAACCTAATAGTAAGTAAATTAGCGGAGCAGAAAAAAAAAACTAAAGATCTCCAAAAACATTTTGACTGGATTCAAAAGACCGGTATCAATGTTGGGTACGATCGATAAACAATGTCGATAATCAACTGACCAGAAATGAAAAATATTCAAAAGCACAAAAACATAGACGACAAAATTAGAAATGATTAAAATCATATCCTAAGTTGCGAGGGTCCAATTCGAATTGATTGACAACCTAAAAATCAGTTTAGCTGTTAAGTAGACTGCTGTCATACCTCCTCAGCGACACCTTGATGCATCCAAATTTGTCGCAGCTTGTTGTATTGCTCATGATTGAGATGAAGTGGGTTTCCACGTCTATTAAGAAGAAAATTATTAATCAATCAAACACCAAAGTTTACCGAAAGCCGACATCCGTTTCTCCAAACTCATCAACATACGGAGCCGCCTTTAAACAACCACGTGCCCGAGAAGTCAGAAGAACAATTTGCGAGTCGCGGATTCTATAGAAACACTTTCATTAAACACTTTCATTCATTACAATAAAGCCCACCTCAAGAAGAGTCCAGATTGTCCGGTGCAATAAAGCATATGATATTGGCAAGCGCCGATCACATCTTTAGCTTCTTTTCCAATCTAACCAATACTATTTTGCACAAAACTGTACTTTTACAAACCTGCTTTTGACAACAGTACGATTGTGAGCAGAGAACCTCTCCACAAACCAAACACATCGTCGGAATTGAAGCCGCCATTTCTTCAAGTGGAATGGATGGGCACCTAAATAATAGCAATAGATAAATTTATGTTCCCAGCTACTTATTCACGGGGTAACTAAATAACATACCGGAATTTAGCAGCAATGTTGATCAACTCCGAGAAGTCTTCAGGCAAATCCACCAAGAGTCGAGGTGCAATTGGTTGCTTGACGAGTTCCAAACGTTGCGATGATTGGGGAAGTGACAAAGACCATCTGAAAAATGTATCAATGTTGCATTTGATTAAAAACTTACAGTCCGAACAATCTATTCGTAGCACTTCCATCGAGCAACTCAAACAGAGACGTTGGCAATCCCAAATACCGGCACAGTGGCTCGAGCTCTTCCACAGATGGATCTAAAATTACAAAAGTCACACCACTCTGCATTGCTAAATACCTTTCAAAGCTTCGGGTGGTGGAACCAAAGTAATCGAATAGTAA